CAGGCGATGTCTCCTTGTCTCCATGGAATAAGTCGATATAGGTCTAACGCACGTTTTATATATACCATAGACTTTTCCTCTTACGCTTAAATATTTATTTCGCTAGTCCCTTTGTTTGTTTGGGCGGTATCTTCAGCACTTAGGACCTTTGATGATGTTATTTTAACTTCAAGGTAAACTTTGATAATGAGTTTGTCATCTATAAAGAACAGATTTGAGTAGTTTATTTCACAACTTCTTACAATTACTGTATTTTGAAACAAAAAATACATATAAGAATATAATATATATATATACTTTAGAATATGTTCATTGATTTCATTTTAACAATTATAGATTTAAAAAAGTTTAAGTTGATTAAGAAGACTTGTATAGTATTGTTAATGAGCCAAAGATTGATAGGAATATAGAAGACATAAACGTCCAAAAATAATTGAAACTATCAGTTAACTCAGAACACAAAAGGTCTGATATTCGGAGTGTGTAAACGGTTTAAAGTTAATTTAAAAACACAAAAAAAAAGTTTCATTACTTATTCAAAATCAGATATTAGGCATTTAAAAATTTGAATTAAAAAAAATTGATAATGATTTGCTAAATTATATTTAGCAAATTAAATCATATCTCAGAGGTGTCAAATTTTATTATTGTATAAATAGGAAACTTAGTAATATTGCCTACCTTTTTTTAATGGGCAGACATTTACATACCATATATATATATTAATCCAGGATCAACAAGGCTTTAATGTTTATCTTTCTATTTTCTCTATTTTGTGTCCACATTTTGTTTTTCTCAGATGATGTGTCATAAGTACAGTAAATCTGATCATTATATTAATTAAAATTTTTTTTTTTTTTTTTTGCAGTGGTGGAAAGCGTCGAAAGCCACAGTGTGAGACTTGAACCCACTAAAACCACCTCTTAGGAATGAATGGACAGCAATGTGGGAACTTCATTCCAGTAATCAGGGGAGAGAAAAAGTAGATAGACTTAATACCTAGCGAACTAGGTTCATCTAAGTCAGAAAGCAAGGGCATGAATTAAGAAGGAAGGATAATAATGAAGGTGGTGGGTTTACGGCTAGTTAGCGGGGGTGAGACTAGTGATGTCCTTTGTGACCAGGGTCAAGAAAGCCGCGGCTAAAAAGAGGAATAGCGAGAGGATTTTGATCCAGCTCATCAAAATAGTGGATAAGTTACTGCGGAGGTTTAAAACGTAAAGCTAGAACAAGGTCTACTGGGAGGGTATCTGGACAAGAGACATCAGAAGGGACGTCGTGGAGCCGGGTGAGATACCTACGGGCGAGTGTTAAAAGGTACTCATCAATACGAGTGATCTTGGCATTGTCATACAGAGTGGAGATAGAGAAGTGCTTGCCATTACGCTTCCTCTAATAGTTGGTGCAATCACGGAGAAGTTTCCGCTCAAACAGGCGGATTCTTTCCATATATTTAAAAAATATAATGGAGATATTAAGAGAAAGCTTCCCGCTCAATAATATAATCTGCATATAATACAACGCAAAAACATTGCCAAAAAAATATTTTCCAGTGTATCATAGCTACGGCATTACCACCAGTGTTGCAATATAGCATTTTATATCAATAAATTCTTCTTTTGATATGCTTCATTTTTCAATAAAGTTTTCTAATTTTTTCAATACTTTTTTAAGACATTTTTATTTTTGTCCTTAGGTTAACTTGATTTATATTTTACGAGACAATTTTTTCTTTGCTTTTTTTTTATTCCTATTATTTTGTACGAATAGCTTTTTTAAAATTATTGACAGGCTATCTCGGGTTAGTTGTGAGTTTTTTAATTAAGCATTCGCCTGCAAGCTATTCCATCAATCGGAATCCGCACAAGTTGCATATTGTGAGTGATTAAATTTTCTTACGGTTTTCTTAGTGAAACATTGCAAAATCTTAATCCGTTTCGATTTAAACTTGTAAAAAGTGAAAATACCAATAAACGTGTTCATAAAAAACCTATTGGTCAAATGGCCAACAAAAACTTGACAAGACAAATCCAAGTAAATGTAAAAACTAAGGGAGGCGTTAGTGGAAAAAGGCAAGAAATAACTTAAACCAACAAACTATGTAGGAGTCGAATTAAGAAATCTATTTAAACGGCTTAAGTGAAAATATCCATACTGATTATAGGATTTAAGACCCTCTCCATGTATTGGTAATGGGCTGATGAGGTTGAGGTTACGAACTAAAAAGCGCAGAGGTGAGTCCATTAGAGCGTAGTATTAAACGATTGAGTATTAAATCTAAAATTGATTTTATTTGAGTTCAAAAAACTCAATGAAATGTCATATACTACAATATTATAGACATTTTTATAGTCTAAACGTGTCATTTTCTTTAAATTTTATATAAATAAATAAATGTTTTTTAAATAAACAGTTAATCAGTTTTAAAAAGCTGCTTCATATTTTATAATTGATAAGAGATCAATACATTATTATTTTTATACTCAGTTAAGGTGCTTATGTACAACAGTAATGAATGGCCATAATAAATATTTTACTTTTAATCCATAAATTAATATCTCAAAAAGTAATTATGTTAGTCCAATAACGTAGTGAAAAAGGTTTGACTCTACTGAAATTTGTTATGAAATCGGCGTGCACATGAAATCAAGGTAAGTACATTATAATTATTGTTAAGGGATGTGTCACTGTGACCGTTGGGTCTATTGTGCCCCCTTTTAGGTTTAGAGTAGTTCTCTAGACCCTATTGTGTTGATAAAAAGTAGTAAAGAACCTACTTAATATAGTTTTATTTGCTCTTTCGTAAGGGTATACATTCCTACTCCGTTTATCTACTCCGTTTACGGAGGAGGTCTACTCCGTTTATGCATTAGTGCAGGGAATTCAAACAGCACAGAATCTACAGTTTACTTGCGTATATATACCCAGTTTCGTAAGAAGGTAAGTACATAATTTAATAGAAGTTTTTAAATCAGAAAAGCTGGAGTCAAAGTTTACCATAATTATTAGAGATACTTACAGTAAATTGAAATAAGATATTAGTTGTTCTAACTATCTTTAAGGGAAGTGGAAAATTGTTTAAATTCTATTATATATCTTAAAAAATAACTCAATAAAGGCGTTATGCACGCAATATATGAATTTTAAAGAAAACAAAAATAGTATTTTTTGATAGTATGCAGACATATGAATACCTACAACAGAGTTATAACAGGACATTAAGATGTTTCAGAAATCAGTTTATACAATTTTGGTTGACATTTTGCATATGACACGCTTAACAGCGAGACATAGAATAAACAAACTTTTACAAAGTAACTTAGGAAATCGTTTGTTAAGGACATGTTTCCTTAAGTCTTCAGTGTTTCTACATTCATGAAACGTATCATATCGGTAATTATATCCGAGAAATCGGAAATCGATGATTATCATATCAGTCATTAGACCGGAAAACAAAACCTGATCTAGAAGCCAAAAAAAACCTTAAATTCTTTGAAAAGTCAAACTTTTACTCACTCTTTACCTTTTTCTCCGTTCACCGTTATCAGAAAGACATACAAAAACTGAGTTGGAATCCAAAAAACTACCTGAAAGGCCTTTGAAAGTCAAGGTTGTACACTCTGTTTTTTTGAATGGTCTAATTGGTTTAATTTATTCTAACTCATACCGAAAAGCCAAATATTCACTAACCAATAATATATAGTCTTGATTAAACTTTTGAGTTAGAATATACGTCATACAAAACCAGATTTTAGGAAAAACCATAATTAGATTATTGCATGTTGTCGTGTACCATCATTTAATCGGTTTTTTAAATAAATTTTTGTCCAAAAGTTTAACAAATGTATTGAAATATAAAAACGTATATATATATCATGTATTATTATGTAAAAATTTAGATTATGTAAAACTCTAGGCAAAGAATATATTTAAGTGAGCAAAAGAAGAGCGAATGATATTTCTGACTAATAATGGGTAACTAAAAGTAAATTCTATACAATGAGTTAATGAAACACCGATTTTGAAGCAGCATTACATAAAACATATAGACGGTGTTGTCTAGATAAAGGGCCAGAAATTGAGATAGCTTTTTCCTCATACATCTAAGCATATGTCTAAGTTGTCTAATCGCTTGTTATTAGTAGTCTTGTAGATCGCGGTATCTTACGTTACATCTGTGCTTGGAATAAATGCAGACCCGAATCATTTCTTTCAAGCAGACAATTAGGGAAGTAATATGCCATTTTAGTTACTTGTAACACAACACATTAAAAAGATTGTGTGGACGCAGAGCATTCTAAACTCGAGAAATCAAAGATAATTCTTATTGATGTGACTGACGTGCGGTATTAAATTCTGTTTGAAAATGAAAATAACTCCCAAGTACTTTAGCCTATCGATAAGTAATACTCTTAAGTCGAATATTTATGGATTAGGATTAATAACCCCCGGTGCTGTTGCAGTACCCGCCAAAAAAGGCAATTGCCAAAATTTTTGAATTTGAATTTGGTTTTCTATATAATGCCTAGCAAAAGAAACATCTAAACTTAGCGTAAATAAGGCAATCCTCAGCAAAAGATTTTTGCTTAACGTAGCGAGGACGGAAAGGAATGTCCAATTAAAAATCAGGAGGGTTAAAACAGAATCATATGGAACTTCAACAATAACTTATTTCCGACATTTTCTGATTCTGCTACCGATTTATCGATACAACTACTTTTATGACATTGTTTGTTCTTATATTGCCGGTTAAATACATAAACCTGTTTTAAGATTAAAGATATAATATTATTCTAATGTTCTCAATCATTTCTGGCGTCAAAAATATATTCAACATAAGGTTTCGTTTTACAGAAAGTTATATTTTTATTTATCACTTGATACAAAAACAAAGCAAAGGAATTAAAAATAATTTTAATTAATAATAATTTTACTGACACAGAAGGCCTTGAGATAGGGTTAAAAAATATACATTCAAATCAAATTATTAATAAAAAGTTTGTGAAGTTTTTGAACTCTGCTGCTTCTCGGTGATAAACGATATGTAAGTTTTAATATTCTTAAAACTACACCTCAAAATAAATTGAATTAATTAGTTTCAGAATTATTAGAATGTTTCCTCTACCAGTGAATGTTGATCCAGACAAGGAGAAGGAGCATACATATGTAAAGATGCGAAATACTGTTCTTTTCTTTATATGTTCTATTGGGATCATTAAGATTAGTGAGTTATTTTAATTAAAATTAAATTTTAAAAATAATATAATTTATTTACTAAATCAAGTAATAGTCAATTATGTTGCTCATTTAATTATATTTGATTTATTTATAGTTCCCTATTTTCTTGGTAAAGTCAAGTTTGAACCATAAGTCCATGATGAAGCCTGCCTGAAGTTGTTGAAAAATGCGCTATTTAAAAAAACTATGCTTTTGGTGTAGTACAACTTCGCTGGACGTTCTAAAATAAATTTTCAGATCTTATTTATTTTTATTATTTCGAATTATAATATTAAATTATGTTCCAAAAATTTACCATATTAATTAAATAAAAGTAAAATGGATATCAAAGTTCTCGACTATTCTTTGAAAAATTATAGAAACATTAAAGTACACAGAAATGTGTGTTCAATACATTTGCTCTATATAAACTTGCTTAATTTTATTATTTCGATATATAAAAATATATCTAATACAATATGAATTGTCTAATATTAAGTAACATAAGTAATAATGCTCTTTTGAGATCGATCACAAATCACATCTATTACTATTTTAGTTGTAATATTGACTTCTTAAAAATTCAAAAAACCTGGAACTTGAGCATTGAGAGTTTGTGCACCCTTTGCTACTTGTGGAAAAACACGATTAGTCATCGCTTCTAATTTGATAGGCACGAGTTCTAAGCTTGGCACTTGCAATTCAAACAAATTATATATGGACTATAAACTTATTAAGAAATTCGAATATTTCCTAAGACCACTGATGATGAGTACTTGGCAATACTCGAAACAGTGCAATACTTGAATTTCAATAAATTAAATAAAATTTTTGTCTTTGTCTTTTCTTTGCTATTCGAATCCGTATAATTCTTAAAAAGTCTTTTGCATGTACAGTTAGTCTCGACTGAAGTCTAGTTTATTATTATCACAGCCATGTCTACATAAAAGGTTAAAATTAATATTTAAAATGAACCACTTTAATCGCTAAAATAAGTTTTTTTTAAAATCTTATTTCATCTTTTAATTTCACATGATTAGTTGTACTTCTAGAAAACCTCTTATAATTTATTATTAATAATAATTGATTTATATGTGTTGTATCGTTCAGTTACTATCATATAAAGAAACAACGACATTTTTGAGATAACATATGTATGTTAAATAAATATATATACGTAAATTTCATTAATCTACTTCTGTATCAGATTAAAGTTTCTAGAAATAGTGTTTCTTTTTAATATGGGCAGATTGGTCAAATAAAAGAAATAAGTTTATATAAAGAGCTGACTTTGTTTATTCCAATATTTCAACTAATGTCGATAAACACCTTCTACAATGACTATCGATGACAATTAAAATGTTGAAATAAAACAGAACATTTTTAATATAATCTTTTGTGTTTCATTTAATTTTAGTTAATAAAATTTAGTTATAAACATAAATATTAGACCATTTTGATAAGTTAGTTAATAAAATTTAGTTATAAACATAAATATTAGACCATATATATAAGACCTATATTTTTGTATGGATGTTATATATATAGATTTTGTATGAGAAATGGCACATGTAGCTGCATATTTTCCGAGTTAAGAACAATACAATCCAGTTAAATGTAAACATAACATATAAACATATTTGGCACTAATTGACTATGAATCAACTACTTATACATTATACATTTCGCATATATTCTGTCTTTGATTTTGTCAAATTAAATAATATGGGATCAATATCATATATTTTAACCCAATGTATTGAATTTAATATAAAAATGTAAACATTATAATAAAATAAAAATAAAAAGTACATTGACATAATACGTATGTTCCACGAGCTACTCGTAGTAACTTTGAGTAACACTGTGTATATACAAATGCGTTCCACCAGAAAATTTTCAAGAAAATGAGGGCATCTGAGAGACCGTAACATCCCTGTCTAAATTTAAAAATGCTATACAGACGTTATTCGTACATTTTATTTTAAGTAAAATTTGTGTTGATGTGTGAATCAGCTGTTTTGGTTTGCATTTAAATTTTTGTATTGTTTATTTGCGCGGCATTGGTGTTCTCACCAGGCTTTACACAAAGCTGTTCCATGAAAATCTGCGCAAAGAACGAAATTTGGCACTTTATTTGTGTTATGCTCTAGGTTTGTACTTTACTTGAGTTTTACTACGATTAGCACAAGGAACAGACCTTATATATACAATAAAAACCCACCAAAACAATAGTAAATATTCTACTATGGCCGTTCGTGAGTTCGAGTAAATTGAGATAAATTAAATTGAAATTTCCTGGAGATTTTTTGCACTACACTTATGTAAAAGTTTAAAGTTAAAGTTTTTATATTTATTTATTTATTTTTTAAACATCTTATAAATTTTCCACAATGGCATAATTTACTAGTTCCCTCAATTTACTATCAATTTACTTGAACTCGCACACGGCCATAATAAACATCCATTAATACAATAGTAAATACCCTTCTATAATTACACAAAAAAAACAATTGAATATTAGCTTTGTTCTATGGTAAGAATACATGATTTGCTTTAAACAAACTATTTTTATTTAATTGCCAATTATTTGTTTATTAAATTATAAAATGTAGAATAGACACAAAAATGTTTTTTGGTGCGACCTACTGTTTAGTTGTTCTATGGTCTTACCACAGTGTGGTGAACTCGTAATGTCAACATCATTTTATACTACATTCATCGCAATAACAAATTCACGACCAACTAAATAACTGCTAATACAAGTGCAAAATATACTTATATCGCTTTTTACGCTACGTTAACGATTTTTTGTATAACTTGTGACGAGAAGATGCAAAATAACACGTACAAAGTAAAGTCGTAGAGTTAAGAAGATATTTGAGAAAATTACTTACGTGTACAAAGATGCAGTTGTTGTTGTTTTTGTTTGTGATAGCCGGTGTCCTAACACAAGTGCATTGCAATGCAAGAAATGTTAGAGCCGTTATTAATCCAGTAGGGAATATTTTAAATAATTGTGCTGAACTTGAGAAACTATGTGGAAATTATGTGGATATAAAAACTAATAAATTATCCATGCTGGACTGTGTGAATGCGTTATCACCAAGTCAGTTAGAAACACTCTCTGACAAATGTCAACACTCATGTTGGCACCAACAACGCATGTTGCTGACCGAGCAATGGCTAAATGAACAATTTACCAAAAATTGCACCAATGAAAGTGATCGCTTGTCACCATGTCTAAATGCTGTTGATATGTGGAGTTGCTTAAAGGAACGGGTCGATCAATTGCCAAATAATAATAAATGTCGCTCTTATATGCGACATGTGCATAGATTGCTATTTCCCGATTATGACGTAGTTGGTGATTTTCTTGCCGCCTGCGATACGCATGTTGAACAATTAGAATGCGGTCGCCTGAATATCGAACACAGAAGCATGTCACAATGGGAGACTGTGCAATGTTTGCATGAGACTGGTTTTGATGTCATCGATGACAGTTGTAAGAAAGCAATTAGTCGCATACAAATGCAACGACAAGAATATGAATTTTTCGAAATTTGTGCGGCAGATTTACAGAGGCTATGTGGGCAGGTAAGTCTAAATATATGAATATATGAAAATTTTATTATATGTCTAATTTATTTTATACATAACAAAATTAGGAACATCCTGGCACACCAGCGGCATTTAAGTGCTTAGTAAAAAATAAAAGTAACCCCTCCTTATCTCGGCAATGTGCTGACCAAATTTCTCTAAGAGATCGAGAAATTGGTAAAGATTATAAAGTATCACATGGACTAGCAAAGGCTTGCAAGGATGATATAAAACTTCATCACTGTCGTCGTGGAGTGTCAGACGATAAACAAGTACGTCTTGCACAAATTCTACTATGCCTTGAATCAGTTACCAAAAATGGCACAAAATTAGCTCCTGAGTGCCACGCTGAAATCGCTGATCATCGCCGCATGCTTTTAGAGGATTATCAACTCTCTCCAGAAATACTGACAGATTGTGCTGACGATATTCCAAAATTTTGTGGTCAGATTGATAAGCGACAAAATGTTGTAGGTGGTAGTATTGGTGGTGAAATTATACACTGCTTAATGGAAAATGCGCGCACAAAACGGCGTCATGTGACAGCACAGTGTCAGCGCACATTAGAAACACTTATTAAAGTTAGCGACGCTGGTGAGGATTGGCGAGTCGATCCAGTTTTACATCGCGCTTGCAAGCCAGTTGTTGATATTGCTTGCCGAGATATCGACGGTGGTGACGCACGAGTTATTTCTTGTCTAATGGAAAATATTGGTACACAAGTTATGCGACCCGATTGTGAGCAAGCATTGTTGCTTATACAGTATTTTGTTGCACGCAATTTTAAATTGGATCCTCAACTTTATAAGCATTGCCATGATGATGCTATAAAATATTGCAATGCCAAGCATGTTTGGGATGACGTTACTGATGCCCAAATGGATCCCGAAAGAGCGCCACTTATATTACCATGTTTACATAGAATTGCTTACAGTGATAATGCAGAAGAAAGCTTACGCAAGGACTGTTTCAAGGAAGTCAAACGAGTAATGCGACAACGTGCAATTTCAGTTGATTTAATACCCGAAGTAGAAGACGTTTGCATTGAGGACTTATCAAGTCTATGCATAGACGATACAAAAAAAGGTGCTGAAATGGAGTGCTTGCAGGATAATTTAGAAAAACTGCAACCGAAGTGTAAAGTATGTAAAAAAAAATTAAGTACCATATGTTTGTAGTTTTAAATAAAATTTATATTTTTACTTATTAAGGAAGCTGTTTCTGCTTACACCGAAGAAGAAGCTGCACATGTAGAACTTAATCCCGTAATTATGTCTGTTTGTTCAGAGGCAATGAAAAGACATTGTGAGCATATCATTAAAGGAGGCAAGGATAAAGGTAAATTTAGTTCATTAAATTAAAAAGTCTATATTAGTCAATAATACTTTAAATTAGGTGATATGATGGAATGTCTTATATATCATAAAAATGATGCAGATTTACGTCAGGATTTGAAATGTCGAGCAGCAATAGAGCACTTTCAAATAATATCACTTAAAAACTATCACTTTACATATAAATTTAAGCAAGCATGTCGCCAAAATGTACAACGGTTTTGTGCTGCTAGTACGACTAAGAACGAAGTGGTGGCTTGTTTAAGCGAGGTAATGCGTAATGATACAATTCGTGGTCAAAAACATTCTATTACAAAAGAATGCAGACAACAAGTAAAATCACAATTGTATCAACAACGGGAATCTATCTCTTTGGATCCGAAATTGGCTCGTGCTTGTAAAAATGAACTCGAGCAGTTTTGTGCAGCTGAAAGGGGTCCTGGTCAGGTGAATATAAATGCAAGTTCATTCAATTTTTTCATAAAATTTTTCCATACTTTTGCATACATGCTTTTTTTTATATATATTATATATTTAACAATATAATAATTTAATATGTTAATATATGTGTAATTATAGGCAGTCGAATGTCTCACAATGCATACCCCTCAGTTAGGCAACACCTGTCATCATGCCGTATTTATGATTAAAAAGTCTGAATTAGGTGATAGCGACACGGATTATACTTTAATAAATACTTGCAAAGAAATGATTTACAAATTCTGTCCAAATACTGATTCAATACATATACTAGACTGCCTTAAGACATATAAAGATGATCCCTTATTCGACTCCCGTTGTCATTTGGTTGTTGTTAATCGTATGATTGAGCAAAATACAGACTTTAGATTTAATCCAAAACTCCAACAAGCCTGTGGACAAAATATTGATCGGTATTGTTCGGATATCATAGCTACTGCGCAACCTAATGAAGAACTTAATGGCAAGGTTAGTTAAAATAATTAATTTTTAATTACCAATCTGTAATAATTTAATTGTTAATCTGCAAATCTACACAATTAGTATATTTTATTATTAAAGTAAAAATTATAGTAGATTTTCCTACCCAAATTAGTATACCTACAATCCTTATCTTCCAAAGTTTAAATTTAAGTGTTCCTAACAATTTGGTTGAACTGACTGATATATGTATATATTTCAGGTTATACACTGCTTAAAGGATAAGTTCCGAGAATCTCGACTTGATCATGATTGCGCACAAGAAATGATCAAAATCTTGCAGGAACAAGCTCTGAATTACAAATTAAATCCGCTTTTGCAAAATTTCTGCAAATCCGAAATAGAAGTTTTATGCAAACAAAGTCTTAACATTAAAGAAGATCACGGTCTGATTGAAGAATGTTTAAAAACTGCTTTTCTGAATCAAAAAATTATAAATCGCGATTGCAAAATTGAAGTCGCAGGATTAATTGCAGAAGCCAAAGCGGATATACATGTTGATCCGATGTTGGAAGAAGCATGCACTGTTGATTTACTTCGATACTGTTCAAATGTCAAAAGTGGGAATGGACGCAGTAAGTTATTTTATTTCAATTTAACCATTTGATATGTTTGTTAAAATATGATTTAAGTTATTTACTTGGAACGGTTAAGCATTTTCAGTATCCATATTACTATTAAAAATGTATTATAGATATATACGTATATTTACATTGAGAGCGTAAGACTAGTAATAACTTCTATATGTTAATAAGCTAACACAGGCTAAAACTCAACCTATAATAAAACATACTTATACTAAATGAGTTAAAATCTTGAGTTAAGTAAGTCTTGTAAATCCTTACCACAACTACTTACTATTATCGTAGAGTTAAGACACTGGATATTCTAGTGTTTTAACTTTCTACCCTGTGATATCAGAACGGCACATTATTTATGCTCAAGTGGGCAACTTAACCTCATTAAAGCCACTAAAGCTTGTCTTCCGAATTCATAATATTCTTTTCTATTTCTATTAGACCTTGCAATATTATTCAAACTTTTTAAAGCGCCAAGTTGCTTGTACCTGAATATTTTATTTCCAAACCTTATATGGTTTTCGAGTATTAATACGTTAATATATATAACAGAACAAATCAGCAATTATAACAGTACAAATATTTTCAAATATTTAAAGCACTCGATAGAAATGTTCAAATTCAAGTAAATTCGAGTGATCGTACATTTTAAAGCAACTACAAGTAAACAACTTGATGGTATATATATATATTGGTTCCTGTCACTTCCAGGTAGAGCATATGAATTGCTTTCATCTGTCTTTATCTGACGATAATATCTTCACTTCAGTTCATTTGTGTTGGTTCTTAGTGTCCAGAGTCTGTCGTTGGCAATTGTTTCAGATCATATCACTTTAAGCAAACGGCAGAGACAGCGGTTCACAAAACCTTGAATTCGGTGAATTATTTATATAACAACAGCATTATTACGCTACTTAATACGCATATAAAAATACATTATATGTTCTCTCCATGCTTATCATACATTTTGTCATTTTAAAAAATATCTTAAGTGTCAGCTCATTAAAAAAAAATAAACCACAACATTTTGTTTGGATAAAAGATAAATAACTTTTTTCAGTAATTTCAATTTTGAAACTAATTAAATAATATAATCTTAATTATTAGCATTTATTTTATATTGTTGATATATTTGAAATCATAATAAAAAGATGTAAGAATAAAATAATACAATTTGTTTACTTTATAGAACTGAAATGTCTGCAAACACTCCTGCAAGATCAGTCAACAGCACTCGAAGAAGATTGTAGACTTAAACTGAAACGTCGTATTGAAATGTTCAGAAATGCCGATACTGTAAGTATTATATAAAATGAATTTTACTTGAAATATTTCTGAGATATAATATTATATTTTTATCTTAAGGTATTGGCGCAGCCACCAGAAAATGTGGAACAACTCGTTACACAAGTTGTGACGTCACCTGCTAAAAAATTCTTCCTTGTAATTTTAATGACAGCAGTGGGTATGGTCTTCTTAATGGGTATATTCTTGGGTAGAGTTACAAAACGTGCAATGAATATCAAAAATAAATAATAACAATAATACATTTAAGTGACTGACAAGTCTTACACAATTGCAGCAAACGCTAAGTTAACTATAAAATAATATTTTTCTACAAGAAAAAAAAAACTAAAAACAAAACATTAAGAAACAGAATAAATGTTGAGCAGTCCAAATTGCTGACCCTCTAATCTCATCCATGTTTAGAAACTTGACCAGCAAAGCTCTTCAAAATTGTTAGTCAAATAGTATTTGCCAAAAAAGAAAAAACATTTATTATTTTTTTCTGACTGATGTTTAAAGGTGTATATAATATTTACATCTTTTACTAAAATACAGACTTTTAATTTATAATTTTAAAAATTATATTTTGATTAGTCTTTAGGAAATAAAAATTACAGTTTTCGCTTTAATAAAGCAATATACGGTAATTCCCCCTACAACGCGATATCCATATAACGCATACTTTGCACGTGTTTATGCGGGGTATTACTGTACTTTTATGGCAAATACTCTCTCCATGCTTTAGGTAATTTTCTTTATTTGACTTAGGTGTTGTAAAAAATATCGTGCTTAAAAAATATTTACACTATTTAGAGTGCAAAAGTAGCTTTAAATTAATTAATTATAGATAAGTTTATATCAATGTTTCCTCTCCCACCGTTTGTTCTGTTTCTTTAGTCAAATATGCTTTCAATTAAAGTTTCTACAACAATCGTTTTCACTATTTTCTTTCAATTGTCTTTCTTCTTTACAACTTGTTTTGTTTTATGTTAAACTTGTTTATAGATTATATACTTCACCAAAAAAAAATTTACTTATATATAAATTTAAATTGTTAAATATAGTTTTACAAAAAATGAAAACGGACGCGAATAAATCAACAAATTTTTGTAATTATTTTTAAAATATATAATATTGTGTTTTAATCTAAATAATTTAAACAAAAAATTAGTATTATTAAAATTGGTAAACATTTTTATATAGATTATTATGCTTACTTACCATACAAGTGTTCTCTTTCTATAACACTTTTCACTCTACACTGTATCTTCTTTAGCAAGTCTAAAAAGCTCGGGTATCCCTGAGCTTCTTGTGGATCCAATTGAAACATGAAAACTAATGGATATTTGAATCAGTTTCATCAACTAGTTTGGTTAGACTGCCAGTAACTATCTGAAAGCAATAAGGTTCCAAGAACGATCGGGTCAACATACCGGACCCACACGCCAATCTCGACGAATAAGTGCCGTTCAAAACCCAAGTGGATTTTACAAGCAGATCCCCATGGGTTACAACAATTGGAAACTGTTATGTTATATCAATCATATCCCAGTAGAAAACGGATCGATCCGTCATCGAAGACGTCTTCAAGACATGGATGCATACATGAAGACCGATCGATCCAAATGTATGACGGTCTTCGAAGACACTTTCATACAAATTAGCCAAATGTCTTCAATGAATTTTTGCGTACATGTCTCGAAGACCGTCTCGAAGACCATGTCTTGCATAACGGACGCATTCGACAGAAAGTTGTGCGCTCTTAGTGCAGTGCTCATAAAATTTTTTCACCCTTTTTTTATTTCTACTCTTTTATTGCGCTCTTTAAATTTTAAATAAATTTCAATTTTCTCTTTAAATAAGTAGAAAGAAATTGTTGTATTTTGTACTTTTATTTATTTTATATAATAATTTTTTATATTACATTCAAAATTAAAAGTAAATTATAAATTTTATTAAGACATTAAAAATAAATTAAATTAAACAATAAAACTTAAAAACTAAGAAACCATAATGAAAATTAATTTAAATATTTAACTTAATATAACTTAGCATATCTAAAATTAACTAAAATTAATATAAAATAATTTATAGCATTTCGCTATCATCAATTGTTGAAGTTTTATATGTTTTCAAAAGCGTTGAAAAGAATTTTGGTACAATTAAACCTTCTGATCTTAAGAGTTCTAAAATATCATTACCAAAACGCCTGTTAATCCTGTGTTTTTTAAATATAACAACTAATTTTTCACAAGTGTTTTTAGTTTTTTTATTTTCAACATCCTTTGTTTCGTTTCTTAAACAACTTTCACTGGAATTATTGTCTTCAATATTAATATCAAATATATTTTCCAGGAACTAAGTCAATATTTAATTTGTTTCGATTTAATTTCTTTTTTTTAATATTTCATAGTTTAATGATTTTGTTTCTTTATTCATTTTGATTTTTTTAATATTTATTTCACAAATGTTTATTTACTACACTTCAAAATTATTGCGTCACTTCATTTATAAAACATAGCGTCATCTGAGGCAAAATTCAAATATTCAGAATTTTATAGAAGGTCTTATACGACGAGAGTACGTCAAAATCACGAATGTTACTTGACAGTCAATAAATGATGTGGGACTTTTTTTTGTTCTATATTAGATGTGTTCCCCAACAAACTACTGACTTTTTTATGTTTACATTCCTAATACAATAATTATTAAAAATTATTCATCAAAAATCTTTATATTTAAACAAGAAGCAGTATTTTTGCGATATAAGTTAAAAATTTGAATTTTATATCAATGTATAAACTCATTTTTGACATAATGTATGTTCTTTCTGCAAGTTAAGACAAAAAACCGCACTGTCCTAAGCAAGACAGTGTTGTCTTGGGCACTCAACAGCCGAGCTTTTGTGTAGCGTACCTTACTTTGCTTTCACCTGTGTTTGTATTAACATTTCATTTACTTCGCCCCTTGCAGTTTTCTGTTTCATTTGACATATCTTTGTTTTCTCTTTACGATTTCCTTAAACATATCTTACTAGAATCTCAGCGGGCGAAAGAATCGATACATCAGGGATGATGATCGATACTTTGGAATCAACCATCGATATTATTACGATACCAAGTAAATGTATTTTTGTACATTGCGTGTCATAGGGAAACCATCGATGCTTTATTCATACCTAGGAATACTTAAAAACATCATTGCAGTAATCACCGATAACAAAAACCTTACAACTCCTGTCGGACTTACGGAGTTTACATATAGTCACAAACAAATAAACAGAAAGTGATTGATTAATGGATTTCGTATCCTCTTCATCATGGCAACTTCTGCACAATTAACTTTTACGTCGCCATTGGAGAATTAGTGCAATAGCACTTTTTTCCCTTAGTACGCCAGTAAGTACACGAACTGTAAATTCTAAACTCATAGAACTAAAATCTGAAACACACGTTTACAGGGGCTAAGCCGCAGGAGGCAGATCTGAGCATATGAAGAGTGGGTTGATGTATTACATGCCTCTAAACTTTGAAAGCGTTTGGCATTCTACCATATTTGTATATGATCTTGCAATTTCTTAGTGGAGACCAATACATTTTCTAGTCTACAATTTTATAATTTTTTTGGATTGACAAGGAATTGAAAAATAGCTTATTCATTATGACATAAGAAAATTCTATATTTACCGAATCAGAAAGCATATGATTAGACAAATTAAATATATTTATGCATATTAAATTTAGACAAAAACATTGAATAATATTCGTGTATACATACGAATACGTACCCATAACAGAAACAGTTATGAGTTCAAGGATATAGTTGGAAAAGTAGAGAAAACTCGAACAGATGCTAAAATTTCCATTGCTAGATTCTGGAATAGTAGTTCACAAAAGCATGTGATTAAGTTTAATCATTTGCACCTAAACTTAATTAATAAAATTTAACTTCAGGTATCTCGATCTACACGACCAATAAAAACATTTTTGATTGTCTTTGTCTATGATATTAAATACTATAGTTAACTCAAATTAAAATTAAAAATATAAATATAAATACTTATATACACATAATACATACATACTTCTTTTAATACTTCCGATTTAAATATTATATATTTATTTGTATATAACAGTACATAGAATTTATAATTTTCACAATATAGTTAAATAGGTAAAACAAAAAGCCGATAAGTCTTTTACCGATTAGTAGCTTATTCATTAATTTAAAATTCAAAATTTATTTCGTGTACTTATTTAATTAAAAAATTCAATATACGCAGCTCTCATAATCATAAATAATTTTTAAAAAAAATTCTGCAATAACGAATTTCTCTTAATCGAAAAAGAAACTATATGGTAAGATCAATTAAATTTTTTCTGATTATTTTTATTTAATAAATTTGCGTGAGTGACATTTCGAATTTATCATTAGGTCTGTTCTACGAGCTACTCCTAGTAAAACTCAAGTAAAACACAAATAAAATTTACACGAAAATTTGCTGGTGGAACACACTTGTCTACACAATGTGTTACTCAAAGTTACTACGAGTAGCTCATGGAACAGACCTATTATATATCACAGTACAAATGAGTATATACAATTATATATATTCAATACATTACAATATATGTACTACATATACTGATATTTATATCAAGAAATTGTTTATTTAAAATTCTATATTTTCTCTATCTATCTTCTTGTTATCTGGATCATCAAGTGTTGATGTAAGCTCATCCAAAACATCATTACTGATTGTGATTTCATTGTTTATATGAAAATATGGTCCACTAGGAGCTAAAAACAAATTTTGGAGATAAAATAGGTTAAATTATTTTGCCGTACTACTACCACTTACAATTCATTGGTAATATAGGAGGCCCTTCGCTACTACTAGGAATGCCATCAATAGCAAATGAAGTCCACAGTTCAACCATTTTTTGTGCCATACGTGTGTCATTATCATTCAAAGAATGAGTGGAAAATAAATATATATTATCATTAGAATGATGTACGCCGCCATTGAAAGGATAATGCTCGTTTCCTAATTCGTAACCAAAACGAGTGTTTTGACCTTCATAATCAAAGCTATATAAGTATATATCAGCTAAATTCTTCTCCTTAAGTTGGGTTGTGAGAGCAATAACTGGTGACTTAATGTAAATTGTTGTACATAACTATTTTCAATAATAACGATTAGTTAAGTATTATATACATATATATAAAAATAGAAGTCTTACATCGAAATAAGCTGGTAGTGCTTCCTTGTGAGCAGTTCCATTCAAAATTTGTGGAGTAAATAATAGGCGTGTTAATAAATTATTACTTAAACGTGTCCTATCATTAACTAAATTCATAATTCCATCAGCAAATTGGCGCACTTTTACCAAACTCATATTACCTATCGCCGCTTTCATTCCATCATAATATGCTGCAAAGGACAGATTGATTTTATAAGACAGAAGGTAAACTTTTTTATATAAATGATTGTTGCACAATTCTTATATATAATTACTTGCTAAAACGAAAGACCCATCATCTTTTGTGAAACCAGTCATGACAGGTATTGATCTATTATAACTTTTCATTAACTCAATAGGATGTTCTGGTAAATTTCCATACACATCATTTATGACAAGGGCGAAATCCTCCTTTAAAATGTTTACAAATTTTAAAATTAAATATTTAATTTTGATTATTTTTTTTTGTTTTACTTACCGCTTGAGTTACTTCCAATATATCCAGAACTGTTGCTTTACTTAAACAATCATATAGTTCATCGTTTCTTTTACACACACCACAATTCAAAGCTTCACAAATTCGTTCAGTTTGTTTACGCGGATCACTATTTATAGCCCAGTGTCCTAATATAGAGCCAGACTGTACAATCACACGTTTAAAAAGACCTGTGCTTTTAGGACTTAAAAGTAAAGCACTTGTCATTGCCGCTCCAGCACTTTGTCCAAATACTGTTACATTGTCCGGATCACCACCAAAGTCACTTATATGATCCTGTACCCATTTCAGTGCTAAGAGTATATCCATAAACGGTGCATTGCCGGGCATATCATGTGTAAAAGTGGTCAGCCAACCCAATGCACCCACACGATATTGTGATACCACAAGTACAATATCCTTTTCTAGTAGATGTTTAGGTGGATGATCGGATGCTGATCCATTATAAAAGCCTCCTCCGTAAATGTAGAACATAACAGGTCGTTTAGTAATTAACTTAGAAGAAAATGTATGTTATTATTGAATAATAGTGTAAAATTATTTTTTAAGAAAAGTTATTACATCCTTGGTAAACACAGATAGATTCAAACAATCTTCTAAGTCTGCTTTTAATTCTTGTGCAGTAAGATTGGAAACTGTTGTGATAACTGGACAACGACGTCCATATCTGGTAGCATCAAATATCTGTCGCCATGGTAGTCGAGCAACTGGTGCCTGTAATAGAAAGAATGTTAAAGGTATAAAAAAATGTTAATATTTTTAAACTTTTATTTTGAAGACTCGAATTATTTATCAAAAACTTTTTAAACATAATTAATTTTGTTTATTTTCTATTAGGGAATTTTGGGGTTACATTCTGAAACAATATTAAGATATTACATTCGACCCTTGTTGTGTTACTATAGTATGTTTATGTTGCTAGTTTAGCTTAATGAGTCATTATTATTATTAAGCTGTTGAATAATATGTGTGATTGTTTTACTGTAACTAATTAATACAACCATATTTCACATTAAATAAATAAACTAATTTAACAGTTCTTGAGTTCTATTGGCGGCTTGCGGCGACATCACGATTCAAGAACTCTAACGAAATGCAATCATCGACCGTCACAATTATATTTATTTTTAGATCTCAATTTTTGAATAACCTTATCAGTTTGATCTGTGCAATTTAGGAAATTAAGAAAATAGTTTCGTTCTTTAGGCGCAATTGCTCTTTTGTTTTTAGGATCCAACAATCGTGTCCTTTTTTCAAATTTTAAGTTTCAGTTTTAGATTCGTTATATGATTTATTTGATATTTCTTAGCTAAGCTTTCAGAACGATTTCAAAACCATAAAGTTTTGCAACACTGTTTGTTTTATATTTACGCGCTATGTTTCGAGACTCGAAACAATTTTTAAAATTGTTTGATCGGGTTAGCCTGTTCACATGGGGATATTTTATTTCTTCAAAAAATAAATTTTAAATCGTTATTATATGTGTACACTACCATATGTTATAAAGTTAATGCTTAAATAAATTAAGTTTTTATTAAATCAGCAGTGAAGACCGTGTAAAAATAGATTTCTAATAAAAACGTGATCAGACACGTTAGTGAAAAATTGTTAATTTCATGATTTACATTTTATTAATAAAGTGATGAGGATTTGGCGATGAGTGTTATATGGAGTGTAAATATATTTTTGCATGTCAAACAATAAGTTAAGAGCATTACTTTTGAAGTACCTTCTTCGAATGTCTATGTTGTAATACTAGTTCCATATATGCTCATAAAGTTAAAAATTTTAGAAATCAAAAATTAAGAATGCTTACGTTTTAAACAAGGAAAGTTTAGGTAGTGAAATGAATTTTGAATGAATATTTTTAGTATGTAATATTTAAGTAATTATTGTCAGATTCAATAATTAAAAAAAAGAAAAAAATATACATGCTCAGCATTTAAGATGCGCCGCATTCAATTCCATTAATAAATATTTGATATCTTAACTTTGACGTTATGGTTAAATTAACTTTAACATATATCAATCCTTTTTGATGGAATTGAACCTTAATTTCTTAATGTTAACATAACTCCATCTTAGGTGTTGAGCTTATATATGGATAAATCGAGCCAAAAGGTGTTCATATTTATTATTATATAGTGAAATTAACTATTGGCGGCTGGCAGCTATAATGACACTCATATCCATTATATGGATATGCATTGACAAGCTAAACACACTCAGCTGAAACAATCAGGTGCATCTAATATGGATTCCGGGACATCTAGTATGTAAGGCAATGAAATGACAGACAAACTTACAAAAAAAGGCGCGTCTTAAAGAATGATAGGCCCAGAACCATTCTGTGGTGTAGGCAAAGGCAATCTATCCATTTTTATGAACGGTGCAGAGAAGAAAGAAAGAGAACTCTATGGGGAAAGGCTACCAAGACTATCACAATCCAAAATGCTTTTAGAGACTTACAACTTAAAATGCTTCAAAGATTACATAGCACAATCAAAAAATAACCTAAGATTTATTGCGGGATTATTGATTAGTCACTGTAGATAGAATAATCACCTATCGCATTTAGGAATTCAATCCAACTTAGACTGCAGATACTGTACATACCACGTGCTTGGGGAGTGCTCGGCACTGATTCACAAGCTGAAGAAACACCTAGAAGGGTATTTAATGGATAATGAGGATTCAAGACTACGAAAGATATGCTCTATAAAGATATGCACAATAGATCTTTTAGGTCGTAGTGCACTATCCCTTCTTTTAAATAATAATAATAAAATTATTATTGTAAAAGTACAATTAGCTGTAAATAATTGTGTTCTTACAGACTGAACCACACAGTACTTAAAAGCTCGAGTACTCAAGCCAAGATAATAAGTTGTAAAAGATACAAAATATTTTGCAGAGAACTTAAATTTATACAATTTAAAAAGAAACTAAGTTAACAAATTAATTATAATTAAAATATTATTCAAAAATTATTCCTCCTACTTGCGTTGATTGTTATCTAAATTAAATTAAATAGCACTTTATCGAAATCGAAAGTTTAATATTCAATAAAACAAAAAAAAATTTATTCATATCGTTTGACATCAGATAACGCTGTCAAAAGAAACTAAGTTTCGTTCATAAGATATTCAAAAATATATTTGATTTCAGTTTTATCATCAATTTTGTATAATAAAGCAATCAAGTTTATATCAAAGGTTCTAAGGAAATTTTAAGAGTGATAAAGCGAAATTTCGAGAGAAAATCTGTAAGTAAAATATTCTTAATACACTTTATGGAGAATATAATTAAGTATTCAAACTTTAAAAAGTGTTATCTGTTTACGTCAATTTTATTACTTATTATTATTCTTCTTCTTCTTCTTCTTGAGTTAGTGCTATTACGCACTTTTACTCTATAATGACTGGGGGGTTAATCACTACCCCACACTAGGCTTTAACTAGGCTAAAAAATCATATCATTTATTTGTCTTTTAGTTGATGACGGACCTTAAATCAGCATATCTTCCTGAGAGTCCAGAAGTGGACTTGAGGATTGTTATGGCGGGGTTAAGTAGCGTATCAACTTTAGTGAATAATTTTAAAGCTCTGTCTCTGATATATTTTTTCACTGAGTCAATCCTAAGATCTCTATGTATATCCGTAGATCTAATGTACCATGGAATCTTAAACAGTTTTCTTAAGGCCAGGTTTTGAGCTATCTGTAATTGCTTTAAGGTGGTATTTGAGGCTTTGCTATATGTAACACATCCGTACAGAAGTGCAGGTCTAATTACTTGCGTATAAAGTAACTTTCTGTTTTTAAAGTTGAAGTGATAATTATTAAATAGCGGCTTTAATAAATGTAGAATCTTAGAGCAGCTATTCCGTTTGTATTTCAAATTTTTAAGCCAATTGAACCGTTTGTCAAAAGTGACCCCCAGATATTTTATGTTATCCTCCCACCGTATCTCCGTGTCGCAAACGCTCACTCTTGGAGGATGCTGTCTTCTTTTTCGAGTTATAAATATAGCCTTGGTTTTGTCTTTATTAATTTTAATCTTCCATTTTTGGAAGTATTCCACCATAAGGTCTATATTTCCCTGTAACGTGTTGCTCACATTTATGGCATCCCGATCCGAGTAGATCAAGCATGTGTCGTCTGCGTAAAGCGCCATTGATGTGGGACTTAAGGTGGGGATGTCTGCCGTGTATACATTAAACAATGTGGGAGACAAAGGCGACCCTTGAGGTACACCTGCTACAATTGATCGGGCGGACGAAAGAGTGCTATTAATTTTAGTACGGAAGGACCTTTCTTGCAGGAAGCTACCAATGATTTTAGTCAAACCACTAGGGATCCCAAAACGGGCTAATTTGACTATTAGACCATCATGCCAGACCTTGTCAAAAGCTTTGGCTATGTCAAATATAATCATCCCGGTTGACTCCCGTTTACTTAGAGCGGTTTGTATCAGCTGCGCAGTTCTGGCTAGTTGTAGTAGTTCCGTGGAGAGATTATCCCTAAACCCGAATTGTTCGTCAGGAAGTATATTTAGGGCATTTACCGCTGTTTTAAGCCTAGTCAGGATTACTCGTTCTGCCAATTTCCCCATAGTTGGGAGCAGACTGATAGGACGCCAGTTCTGCGGAAATGAAGGATTCTTGTCCGGTTTAGGAAACACTACGACTGAGGCCAACTTCCAGGCCTTTGGAAATTCGCCAAGCCTAAGCATGCAATTGATGATGTTAACAATGCATTGGATTGCATCTTCTGGAAGATTACGTAGGCATTTGTTACTGATATTATCATATCCGGGTGCCGATCTGGTCTTTAGACTCGAAATAATACATTTAATCTCATCTCTGGAACACTGTGAGATGCTTTCATCTGACATCAGGTTCCTAAGATTAGCAGCCTCTTCGGCAATATTTTCTTCTACCAGAGAATTATAGTCACTATCAGTATTGGGCTGAAATTGCAGCTCCAAAGAATCTGCAAAGGCCTCAGCTTTGGCTATGTCTGAGAAAGCCATGCCGGTAGCTACATAAATAGGCGGCACTACCGGTTTACGTTTAAGCCTAAAATACTTGTTCAAAGCCCAGAAGGTTTTATTACCTGTATCAATTCCTGAAAGAAATTCGCACCATTTATCATTATTATATTTGCCAATTTTTTTCCTGATTACATTAGAGAGACGATTGGCTTCTCTTCTTCTCACAGGATCTCCAGTTATTTGAGCAAATTTTCGAATCGCATTCCTTTGTCTAATGATTTGTTTGATGTAATGCGGCAGATAAAAGTAGCTACTTGGTTTTCTGGTCCTGGTGGTGGAGCTATTATCCAATGCCTCCTTAATCTTGAGAGTGAGTTTTTGGATACAGTCATCAAGATCCTCAGAAGTTACTGGCCAATTATTTATATTTGAAATATCAACCTGATTCTTAAATGAGTCCCAGTTAGTGGTTATGTACGTGAGATTCATGTTGATTGCTGGACAATTTTCAAGAATAAAAAGAACTGGTTTGTGATCCGAATCCAGTTCATCAAGGACCTCTACGTGCACATTCGATTCTAAGTTATTAGAAATTCCGAAGTCAATGACATGGCCTGTGATTCTGCCATAATGTGTCGGTTCACCTGGCGCATGAATCTGCCATAAGTGTTCAGTGGCGAGCCCATCAATATCCCTGCCAGCTCTGTTTGAAGTTCTGTCACCCCAGCTGCTATGATATGCATTTAAATCGCCCGCTAAGAAAGTAGGTGTCTCGTTGTTGAGGATAACCTCAAGTTCATTAGGGAGAATTTGCAAACTTGGTGGCCTGTATGCTGACACAAAATTTATATTACCAAGTTGGCTTTCAACCAGTACAGATGTTGTTTCGAGCGATTGTTGGTTGCAAATTGTAGCATGATGTTTAATGCCATATTTAATCACGATGGCTGTGCCACCACCTCTTCTTGAGTTTCTGTCTGATCTGTAAACAACATAATTGGGAATTTTAAAATGGATAGCAGGTTTCAGAAACGTTTCTTGGATCAACATAATGTCAATTTCAAAATCATGCAGGAATTGGATGACCTCATGTTTCTTGTTAATAATGGAATTGGCATTCCACGTCACAATTTTAAGTCGATATGATGACAAACTCATTAAGAAGCTAGGGTTGGCACTAAACTTTGTAACAAGGACTCCATCATAGTTTTCATCATTGTACTAAGTTGTATCTGCATATTATTTAAAAGCTTCTCCATGTGGGAGGTTAGCAAGTGGGAATTGGACGAAACTTGCTCAGCTGTACTTCCCTTCTTCAAAGCATCGGCATAAGAAATTGAAGGCTGCACTTTAGAACTGACCGTAGAAATTGGTGTGGAGACATTCTTTTTCTTCAGCATTTGCGGAGCGCAAGGGCATCCTCTATAGTTGGCTGGGTGGCCACCACCACAGTTCGAACAAATCGGGGCAACATCGCGTGGTTTTGTACATTGTTGGTGATGGTGTGAGCCCTCACACTTAACACACTTTGGTGTGGCTCTACAGTTAGTAGCGACATGCCCGAACTGCTGACAGTTATGACATTGTGGGGGACCTTTTAGAGGGCGCTGGGCTTCAATAATCACCTTTAAATGACAAATACTGGAAACATTATATATGTTCTTCTGGTCAGATGGCAGTCTGATTTTAACTAAATTGCTGGCAGCTTGTCTAGTTTTCAAAAAATGGCATTCAAAGATACTAAATCCTTGGCCTGCAAGATCTTCTTTAATATCATCTATACTCTGACCTTCTAAACCTCTAATTATTATATTGAGGTGTTTTTCGTCAGGAAGAAAGTGGGTGTGAAATGGCTCACTAATCTCATTTAGATATCTTGTTATCTTGCGATGGTCATCTATGGTGCCAGGAGTTATTTGTATGCCCAAACGGACCTTCTTTGCCTCGCTAAAATTAATGTTTCTTGTTAAAAATTGCTTGACTAAAGAGTTCCACGTGTTGGTTCGACGGAGTACAATAGGTACAACTTTGCCTACTTTCTTATTTGAGGTTACAGGTTGTAAAAGATTTCGATTCGTTATATTGTCAGAAACAATACCATTAGTATGGATGTTTTCAGGCGTAGAGATCCGCTCAGGAGTTGGGAATTGAGAATTTCCTGTTGAAATTGACTTGACTGCTGTTGAATTTGGTGCTGTTTTAGGAAGTCTTTTCTTTACAACTGATTTCACCTGTTTGGTCGATTTGACTTTTGGATTATATTTCGGGAAATCAATTTCAGTATCTTCAATCTTAAAAGGGTCAGGCTCCGCAACAGAAATTTCTATCTCCATTTCTTCCTCATTAGAGCCAGCGGAGTCATGGGGGGAGCTAACTGGAGAAGGCGGTGAAACTTTCTTCCTTTTATTATTATTTAATTGATTACCAGTAGCTACTGGGTTTTTTAGCTTCAATTGTTTTTCCAAATCAGAATACCGGTCCTGGAGCATTTGAAATTGCTGCCTAAGTTTGATATAGTTGGCTTGTAGAATTTCATTGAATTTTTTAAGTTCAAAGAGTTCCTTCACACTGATGTTGACCATTTCAGTTGTGATTTCACTATTAGCCTGTAGAGGAATATCAGGGGGCTCTGATATATCTACTTCATTAACCTTTTCAGACATGGTGTCACTAGTTCTTCTCTAACTGTTGTTCCAATAAAGTAAATATCCAATTGTACCTCCCACTTGGGAGGGCCCTTAAAATCTTGAGTTGTTCTTGAGTTCTTAGGGAGCTCGTAAACTTAATTGTCAAAAGTATTTAATATCTTTTCTGTGAATTAATAGAGTAGGAAATTTGAAACTTCTGTCAAAAAAATTTAAATTTAATTTTTAATAAAATTTTTTCCAGCACAGAAAAAATTGAAACACAACTTCAGCTAATAATATAATCATCCTTATTATTATTATTATTATTATATTGAAGATTTAGCTAAAGTCTGTCTTATCAGTTTTTATTTCTGGTATGACAACACAAGATTTCGACAGATCACCTTCTTCTTATTCAGTTTTCTTTAACTAAGTAGGTTTATTCAAATGGGTCTTTTTAATATTTATTTATTTTTTTGTAAGTACCATTTCTTATTAGCACATTGAAGGTGTGCGAGATTCTTCCGTTTTAATCTTTCATGTTTTAGATATATGTAATAGATAACTATGAAATGTACAAGTGGACTGAGCTCAGGATCTCTTGAAAATAGGTTTATGCAGTGAAAAAGTTTATGTATAAGATAAGGTAGATGATTCAGTACTGAGCAATCAAAATTTAATAAAACGTTGACTTATACAAAAACAGTTATTTTATCTGAAATAATAGTTCAGTCTTTCAACATGTAAGTACAAAAAGTTTGATGACTTCTATGTCCATGCTTTTACAGTTTACTATATGTAGATTATTTTGTAGATTATTTTGTATAATAAAAATGCAAATTTAAGGGTTTTCATGGTATTAGGATATTATATTGGTGTTCAGGATATGCATCTTTTACTATTGTTTTGATCTCTCTCACACCAGGCTAACAAATGAAACAGTGTGGCAAAAGTTATTTTTGTAATTATATCGATTGTACCACCTTCAATCATCAATTCCTTGACAATATATTATTGTGAATAATTGGATATCTTAAGAAAATTGTTTTTCAGGATAAGACCTAAGACCCAGTTAACAAAGTATTATCTTTGATCTGTTTATAAATATAATAGAATTGTTTAAAGTAGTTTGTATCATTTACCAGAACCGGTCTGTGTCCAAACTAAAAACCTAGGACCCCATACATTTACATGCTTTTGGTCCTGCTCCTACAAATTTCTTCAGAACATCTGTTTGAGTCAGGGCTTTCATAAACATTTATTAAATTAACCACGGCCCTTTTGACTAAAAGTTTTCAAATTACTTTATATTTGTTGTAAATATATTTGGAGTACTACTATCTAGTACTTATTTTATGAAATAATATAATGCATATATTTTTAACACACATTCTTAAACCAAGCTTAACTGGCGTTTAGAAAAATTCTATACTATATAAGCAAATTATTCATTTGTGAAAAATTAACATTATTTAACACATATTTCATGTTAAAAAAATATCGTACATATTGGGAGATGCACTGTTGGGGTTTTAGACCCTGCTTCTGTGATAATTTTCTTGCAACTACCAAGATATAGAGTTTAAACTTTTAACTGGTTCCTTACTATACCTTTTAAATGTCTTTATAGTCTCACACTAAGAGCAGTTTCATCTTTAGCAGCTTCACTATAACTTAAATTTCTTTCAGTTCTTAAAAAACGAGCACTATACATTTTAAGTGTATTAACATAGAAAAATACAGTAAACATCTATGGGAATTATCACGTTTATAAATTTAATTAAAAAAAAATCACAAAAAAAAAATCACAAAACAATTTCCCTTTCAAAACAAAGAAAAAAAGATTTGCGAAATAATTAATTCAGATACGTGTAGACTGGTTAAGTCATTTTAATTGACATGAAATCATAAAGAATTCTATTAAAAACTTTTATTGATTTCTATGGCACAATTATTTAAAATTAAAAAATATTGGTGTTTACCTTAAATCGTAATTTTCCACGAGGTGACTCAGCATATGGTATACCACGAAATTGCATATATTTTTGATTTGTCCATAAGGTAGTATCGAAGTCTCCCAAAACTGAACCTTGCCCCTGAATATCTACAGTCACAGACGGGTACTTCAACGACGTCGTGTATTGTGCGGCAGTAACAATACAGACTATCACTAAAATTCCTATAGAGAAACCGGCAACTAAACCTTTCATACCGAACCCGTTGACTGATGAAATTCAACTAAACTTGTTTTAAACGTACTTCTACATCTTATCTACATACAGATTATAATCAGAATATATTATATATTACAAAGAAAAAAAACTATTTGTTTCAATTGTTCCAATATAGTAGCCTACGTTACTTGGTATGCAATTAAACGATAAATAAATCTACACATTTTAATTGCTGGCTAAATTAAAAAAAATATCAAATAATGAATGTATTGAAGTTATGATTTTAATAGAGCATTTTACAACTATTTTATAACTATTGTTATATGCAGTTATGTTTACTCAAACGTGACTGATTTATTGAAAAAAAATCAGTAACAACTGTTATAACATATTTTCAAAGTACTTTTCCGGAAAGTAAAAAACTTATGTGATCTATTCAAAAAATACATATTATACTTTATTATATTTAATCTTTCACATATAATATTATAGAAAGGCATATTAAGTTTTCATCGTTGTTTTTAACGTAAACGTTTATTAAGGCAACATGGGTCCATTCCTTTGATTTACTATAATTTAACACAATTGAACACTAATTTCGAAAGATAATGATTTACTAATTAAACGATAGGCTAGCAAGTAACCCGTACTGCCAGTCTTGTCCAGATAAAATTGAGAGTCCTGACCACATAATTAGAGACTGTATAAGATTCGTAGATATTAGACAAAATCTAGAGACACTAATTGGGGAATCCAGCCCTTCTACTATGGTAATGCAGATGTTGGCAAGCATCGAAGAATGGAGCTTTTACAAGAGCATAATCTCTAGAACAATAAATACTGTTAGAGCGGACGAAATACTTAGTACACAATCGGAGTGAATGCACGCTAAGTGCTCTTCTAACCTGCCCTGTGAAGGAATACCTTAACTGGTCGTACTGCAGGGATTTTCAGGATTTTGAGTTGAGAATGTAGGGGACTTTTTAGTCCGTAGGCATGTATGACTCAATTTGAGTCGTGCATGAATCGGGCATGCAAATGGTACGGGCCATTTGTATCTTTTGAAGATTTTTCACCCAGGTCCGATACCACAAAAAAAAAAAAAATGATTTACTAATTTATAACGTTAAGTTAACATCACGTAACGTAATATACATACGTATGTGTAAGAGAGAATCCAAAGTAGGAAGAACTTTTCAAATACAGATATCTGTAGTAAAACCCTTTATTGACAATATTATATGTCTGTATGGTCAAAATTTCCAGACATTTAAATGAGTAGAAATGGAATTATTGCGTTATTGATTTTAATAAATTTCAATAAATAAATATTATTATTATTTCTACAAACAAATACTACAAAGAGAAAAACAAACGAATGCTTAGGCCGTTTGCGAGTTCGAGTAAATTGAGGTAAAGTAAATTAAAATTTTCTAGGGATGTTTTGCACTGCACTTATGTAAATATTTATTTATTTATTTATTGCACTTATTTATTATTTTTGGATAAAATTTTTTATATTTATATATTTATTTATTAAACATCTCATAAAATTTCCACAATGGTAACACTTGATTTCAGGGTTTGAATTGCTTGCTGAAAATTAGCAAAAGCAACCATATTTTGACTAATGCATAAATATTAACCAGTCGATTTTTGTCAAACGACTAATTGCTAACGCATTGCATATGAAAATGAAATAAAAATATGCATTAGCAACAGCAAAAAACGTAAACTGGTTTCATTTTGATTGCTTGCTAATAGTCAATTTTACATTTTTGACTATTATGCATTTGGAATATATGCAACTTGCTTGCTTATGCGTTAGCTGCTTGTGTTTTGCTATTAGCAAATGTATATGGATTTCTTCTTTTTGTTTTTTTTTTAAGGGAATGTGTACGCATTATTTCTTTGTTGGTGCATTGAATATAGTTGTGCAAAATTGTAAGTAATGTGTGTGCGTACAATTTGTATGCAATTAATATTATTTTATCTGTAAATAGATTATGCCTAAATTTATGTTTTTTTTAATTATTAAATTTATGATATATATGATATATATGATATTAATTATTAATTATTAATTTATATATATATATATATATATATATACAGTGTTGTGCATAACAAAAGCAACCAAAATTTGCCCATCAAATAAATAAGTTTTTTGTCTACTTTTTACTTTTCATTCAAAAATCTAAATACACAGTTTTATTTGTTATTGTATTAGCTATTATAAAAAAACAACAAAATCTACAATTCTAAATAATGGGTTAATTAATTCACACAAATAATAAAATATTGCGAAATGCGGCTGTGCAAAACAATAGCAACTGAGACAAGAGCAATGATAGATCTATGACCAAAGTGCATTCTAGCAAGATATTTTTTTGATTTTTTGCATTTTTATGCTGTGATTTATGTTTTTAAGGAAATTAGAACATAAACACAGAATAGTTCAATATTAAATCAGGTAATGGAAGTACGTTTTTATCATGGCTCGTGACACGTATACTTTGAAGTTTAAAGAAGCAAGAATTGAAAAATATTTAAATGGCAGTGCTCAAATGAAATAGCCAAAATATTTAAAATTAATTAATTTATTGTTTCGCAGCTTATAAAAAAATATAATTAGACAAAATACCGTTAAAACGGTTTATTTGGGTGAAGGCTCTCTTAAGATTACTTGTAGAATTGATCGAAACATCATAAGAATTACAAAAAAAACAACCATTCGTGTCGTTGAAAAAGGTCGTAGCCGAGCTTAAACAAGGTGTTGACTCTAATACTGTACGCAGGCTTACTCTCGAAGCCGGTTTCAAAAGTTACAGACCAGTCAAAAAACCAATGTTGACTAAAAAGCATTAGCAAAAGAGGCAGATTTTTGTTTTGCTTTTTAATTAATATTAATATACTTCATTTAGATCAAATTTCGCGTGGAATCACTTAAATTGGACTTTTACTAAATGGAAAATAATTTTTTTCAGCAATAAATCAAAATTTAACATCTTTAATTCTGATGGGATGTGCACAGTACGTCGCGAAAAAGAAAAACGTTTGTATCCGCGTAACTGCCAAGCGACTGTGAAGCATGGGCGTGGGTCAGTAATAATTTGAGCGTTCTTTTCAGGATTTAGACTAAGATCTTTTCATGAAATTCATCAAATAATAGCCCAACATGTGTACAAAAAAATTTTAGAGACCCATATGGTACCCCATGGCGGATGAAAAATGTCACTCCGACGGGTATATCAGTACGATAACGACCCAAAACACACCTTAAAGCTGATAAGAGAATGGATTTTGAAAAATGGAATTCCAATTTTAGATTAGCCAGCCCAAACACCTGATTTTAATTCAATTGAGAACATTTTGGTATTCTCAAACGTCGCTTTGGGGGTCGAAAAGTTTCCAATTGTTTGAGGTCATGAAAGATGAATGGTGTAAAATTCCAAATAGTTTTATTAACAATTTAATATCACCTATGACCCGTATAAGTGCCCAAGTAATAAAAAGCAAAGGGCTTTATACAAAATTTAGAAAAATAATACAAAAATTTAATATAATAAATAAAGTTGCTATTGTTCTGCACAGCCGCATTTCGCAATATTTTATTATTTGTGTGAATTAATTAACCCATTATTTAGAATTGTAGATTTTGTTGTTTTTTTATAATAGCTAATACAATAACAAATAAAACTGTGTATTTAGATTTTTGAATGAAAAGTAAAAAGTAGACAAAAAACTTATTTATTTGATGGGCAAATTTTGGTTGCTTTTGTTATGCACAACACTGTATATATATATATATATATATATATAAATTAATAATTAATAATTAATATCATATATATCATATATATCATAAATTTAATAATTAAAAAAAACATAAATTTAGGCATAATCTATTTACAGATAAAATAATATTAATTGCATACAAATTGTACGCACACACATTACTTACAATTTTGCACAACTATATTCAATGCACCAACAAAGAAATAATGCGTACACATTCCCTTAAAAAAAAAACAAAAAGAAGAAATCCATATACATTTGCTAATAGCAAAACACAAGCAGCTAACGCATAAGCAAGCAAGTTGCATATATTCCAAATGCATAATAGTCAAAAATGTAAAATTGACTATTAGCAAGCAATCAAAATGAAACCAGTTTACGTTTTTTGCTGTTGCTAATGCATATTTTTATTTCATTTTCATATGCAATGCGTTAGCAATTATGCAAGCAATGCAATTAGCAACAGCAATTCAAACCCTGCTTGATTTACATAATTTTTATCTAATTTACCCTACTCGAAATTCAGATAAATACCAACATTCGCTGCCATACCGACATAATTAACTATTTCGCTAAATTTACCATCAATTTACTCGAATTCGCACATGGCCTTAGTTGACAATGCGACATTTTTTTTAAAATTGCATAGCAAGTAGTCCAAATGAAAATAAAAAAACGAAAATTTAATTATAATTGTCACAGGATATTTTTTGTCCTGCCATTTTTTACAGAATTTGGGATAAACTTAAGCCTGCTGAAATATTTCATGAGTGCCAAATAGCATATGCAAAGTATATAAGAAGTAAGAAGGCAGATCTCGTGAAAATGACTGAAAATCATCTTGATGATGTAGGAACCTTTTCTAAGCAATTCGTAATTAATGAAAATCCAAAATTAAATCCGACTGTATCGTGCATATAAATCAAGAACCTTGGATATATAAGGAAGTCAACCGATGAGCTTCTTTAATTTTGACTGACGCTTGAAAAGAATTGCAGATGCATTCTACTTAATACTGTTTTCAAAAATAGAAAAATAGCGTCCACGACCTTCAATAAAATTAGATCAGGTGATGTAGTTTGGTACTATTAGTACGAACTAAAAAGTACGTAACAGTCATTGGTATGAGGCCCAGAAATTGCTAATCTACTTGTTAAAACAGCAGAGGTCAGAAACAGAAGTAATGACATTAATTTACTTTACTAAAAAACTAGTTATAGCTGTTATTCTTCTAAAGACTCGAATTTCTTAGGAAACTATTTATAATTATTACCATTTATAAAACAGTCCCCGAAACCAGATTTTTCCAGGTTTGTAACTTCGAGATTAATTGCTCTATTTTTTAAAATAAGCACAAATACATGGATGCGATTCACGAGAATGCTCTCGGTTCATATTGTTGAAGAAAAACAAGCATCTTCATTGCACTACTAGGGATTGAAAAAATCAAGAAACATCACATTCCGTACCACTAGTTTCATATATTTGTGGTTGTTTCCAAAAATAAAACAATTGAAGGTTCTTAGTAAATTAGTAAATTAAGAGATAAGTAGTGCAGTTAATCTCTTGAAAAAATCCTGTTTTAAGGACTGTTTTCTAAATTGTATTCTTCGGTTTCAATAATGTATGTATAGAAAACAATAAAAATTCTGTGGGAAAAAAATGAAGATTGAAAATAAAATCAAAATTATTTTTGTAGTCAACTTACCAAACTTTTGTTAATCCCCTCTTTCTAAAACAGACGTTTGAAATCTGTTTTGGAAATATCTCTGTCTACCTATACACAAATATGAATATTACTTAATTTAGCATACATTCTATGTTAACATTACCAATATAGTTTGATATAGTTAAATATACAATAATATTTATTTTAAATCCATTAAAATGTGAAAAGCTATCAGGTATATAAGATTTCTTATAAGGCTATTAGATATAAAAACAAGAAGTAAAAATTCTTGTGTTTTGTTATGAGTATAGCTTCCCTTTATATTTATCTATGCACTTATTTTTAATTATTGCCATAATTATTATATTTAATTATTTAATTACATGTGACAATCATCATGCGACCAAGTTGTACAACTTAATCACATACAATTACCCATACCATTAAGACTTGGTACTCATATAGTTTCAACAAAAATAGGTTGATTACTTTTGATCCAGACAACACCAAGAATATTTATAACCTTTTTACTCCATCTTTTTACAACAGCTAATTAACCCTTTTACTCCATCTTTTTACCCCAACTAAATTGTTTGCTGCGAAAATCTTGACTCATTAGTTAATACGGAATAGATTTTGAGATCGCGGTGTTATATCTTCTCTAATTATTAAAATTCTTGAAAAATTTAACAAAATATTCTTCAAGTAGTTTTGAAATAAATTCTGCAATAATTTATTCTCAAATATTTTACAAATTGTGATCACAAGTTTAATGCTGAATTAATTAAACTACCATAAAAGCTTAATCATCCATATCACATCGATTTAGGATAGGTTAAATTATAACGATGATCTTATGAGTCCACTTAAATATAATTGCTTAATTATCTTAGTCCATAAAACTCAAAGCATATAAAACTGTCTAAAAACTTAAATAAAGCCGATGATGCTTTTTAAGGATATGTTCTGCATATGACCTTAGTCTAAATTTTGATACTATTCGGATTAACCGGATTAACTAATGAGTTGAGATTTTCACAGCAAACAATTTAGTTTGGATATACTCTATAAAACTTATTAAAGGGAAGAATATTCTCTTAAACGTAGAAAATTGTATTAAAGTATTTTTTCAAACAAACTAGATCATATAAAATTAACTAGCTGACTTCCCAACCAGCTGAAATTAATAACCAGGAAATATATATATCAATAATATATATTATAAATGATATTTTAATAAAAAAATGTATAATAAATTTTTATGTTTTCATTCATTTTAACAATTCCTTAACACAAATTTGTTTCAATTTGTAAATAGGCTAACTAACCTTGATCTGAACCTTGCACCTTTCTATAAATATTTCCCCTTTTTTTCTTTAAGATATCATCTAAAAACAAGTTTTGTAAAGTACAACCCGATTTGTAATTAAATAACTATACATAATATTAAAATTCTCTATTTATTCTATCTAGCTTGTTGTTATCTGGATCATCAAGTGTTGATGTAAGCTCATCCAAAACATCATTACTGATTGTGATCTCATTGTTTATATGAAAATATGGTCCACTAGGAGCTAAAAACAAATTTTGGAGATAAAATAAATTAAATTATTTTGCCGTACTACACTTACAACTCATTGGTAATATAGAAGGTCCTTCGCTGCTACTAGGAATGCCATCAATAGCAAATGAAGTCCACAGTTCAACCATTTTTTGAGCCATACGTGTGTCATTATCATTCAAAGAATGAGTGGAAAATAAATATATATTATCGTTAGAATGATGTACGCCGCCATTGAAAGGATAATGCTCGTTTCCCAAATCATAGCCAAATCGAGTGTTTTGACCTTCATAATCAAAGCTATATAAGTATATATCAGCTAAATCCTTCTCTATTAGTTGGGTTGCAAAAGCAATAATTGGTGACTTCATATAAATTGTTGTACATAACTATTTTCAATAATAACGATTAGTTATGTACTATATATATATAAAAATAGAAGTCTTACATCGAAATAAGCTGACAGTGCTTCTTTGTGAGCAGTTCCATTCAAAATTTGTGGAGTAAATAACAGACGTGTTAATAAATTATTACTTAAACGTGTCCTGTCATTAACTAAATTCATAATTCCGTCAGCAAATTGGCGCACTGTTATTGTACTTAAGTCACCATTTACTTTCTTCATTTTATCATAATATTCTACAATACAAATCATTGACATCAAAAATTTAAGTAGGTAAAATTTATTTTTAAAATAAAATAAAAAGTAAAATATTTTGTATATTTACTTGCTAAAACGAAAGAACCATCATCTTTTGTAAACCCAGTCATAACAGAAATCGATTTATTAAGTTTTCGTAGGAGTTCCGCAGGTTGTTCTGGTATAATGCCATTGATATCATTAACGACGGGTCGAAAGGACTCCTTAAATTAAACAAAATGCTATCCAAAACAAATTTCTTCTAACATTATTTCAAATTTACTTTTTGTGTTACTTCCAGTATTTGATCCACCGTTGCTTCTCTTAAACACCTATGTACTTCGTTGTTAATTTCACATGCACCACAATCCAAAGCTTTACAAATTCGTTCAAATTGCCTGTGTGGATCCTTTTTTATTGACGAGTGTCCCATTATAGATCCAGACTGTAATATGACACGTTTAAAAAGACCCGTACTTTTAGGACTTAAAAGTAGAGCACTTGTTATTATTGCTCCCGCACTTTGTCCAAATACTGTCACATTATCTGGATCACCACCAAAGTCACTTATATGTTCCTGTACCCATTGTAGCGCTAAGAGTATATCCATAAACGGTGCATTACCCGGCATGTCATGTGTAAAAGTGGTTAGCCAACCCAGGGCACCTACACGATATTGTGGTACTACAAGTACAATATCTTTTTCGAGTAAATAACGAGGTGGATGATCGGCAGCAGCACCATAATAAAATCCACCTCCGTGTAAATAGAACATAACAGATCTCTTAGCACTTAACTAAAAATGAAGATATATTTTTTATTTAATCATTTAAATGCTTTTAAGAAATTTATTACATCTTTGGTAAATACAGATAAATGTAGGCAATCTTCAACATCTATAATTGAATCCCTTCCAATATGTTTGTAGCTCTTTGTTGGACAATGAGGGCCATATTTAGTAGCATCAAATTTTTGATTCCATGGCTGTCGGGCAACTGGTGCCTACAAAATATAAAGTTTTTTAGAAATTTTTAAATAATAATAATAAAATATAAATAATATAATATAATAATTACATAATATAATAAAATAATAATAAATATAATATAACTTATGTTACAGTAATTTAAAAAATACGCATAAAATGTATCAACATAATATTTTTTTTACAAGTCAGCTAGCCGTAACAGAACATTTGTTAAAACTTTTCAAAGTCATACCTTATCAGATTATGAGGACATAAAAAACTGGCATAGTTGTATTGTACTCGTTGGGTTCCCTGCGGAGAGGGGAAAAGAATACTCCCGCGGTTAGGATGGCCTGTCGTAAGAGGCGACTAAAATCCCCCAGTGCCAGTCTGGCACTTATGCAAGAAGTGCCAGTGGTAGTGAGTTGTGGGCGGCAACTTGCGACATCTGACCAGAGATGATGCTATCTGGCACTTCGGGGGTCAGTGGTCCGACAGCTTCGGCTGTACTTGGAAGCCATTGGTGTTGGCTTCCAAGTGGTTGTGGTTAATACCCAAACATTCGCGGGAAGAATGTTTTGCTTGTCATTCATTCGTCGTGGTGTGCGTTTCAAACCGGGTGCTGCAGCCCAAATTGTAGCAGAGGTCAGTAGGTAGTCCTCGCATCTTACCAAGGTGGAAGTTATAACTTGCATGAATTTCTTCATTGGTACCGGCGGAATAGAGCAAACTATTCCAATGTGGCGTTGATTGACGCTTAAATTAATACGTTTGTTAATACGTGTCAATGCTAGGCTGAAAAAAATATTGGAATTTTATCAAGTCAAGGTCAAGGGGTCAAGGTCAAAGTGAGGGTTTTGAAAATACCTCGAGTTAAGAAAGAGTAAAAATGTTTAAGTGCACTGGCTCAAAACAGCTTCAACATAATATATTTATAGCTGGTAACGTTTTTTTAAGCTCTCCAATATTAAATTGCATGATATTCGGAATTTGACAAAATTCGGAATGTAGTTCAAATAAACGTAGTGTATGATCATTTATTTGGTAGCAATTAGAAAAGCTAAACAACTTCTGCAAATTAAATTTTTTAGAATCAATCGAAAAACAGAAAACAGTTCTACTATAATAAAACTTAATCAAATATAGCAAATTTACGTTTAACTACAGATTGTAATATTGTAATATGTGAGTGAGTTGAGTAAAATTTGACTAGATATGTGAGGTCGCCACACATATAATTTGTTTCATTATTGTAAAACTTCTTGTCTCATATCCAATACTTACTCACTTAAAGCCAAATCCAAAATACTAAATATTACAATAGTCCCTTTTGAAAAGTACGTTCACACCAACACCAATAATTGCTAGTTTTTATTTAAAATCCATACAAAACAATGCTAATGAGGTTCGATAATTGTATGTATAAATAAGCAGTCGTTTAGATTAAACTAAACTTACTTTGTTGATAAAGCAGATATAACAAAAAATTTTATTATCGAACTTGTAACTGCAACTTTCGCTTTGAACTCCTCTTATATACTAGATTCACACGAGAATTTTCTTTGTAACTTTAGCTGTCATGTTTCTAATTTTAGCTTTCAATTGTTTTTGCTTTCAACGCAGAATGAAAATTTTTGACAGCTAAAATTACAAACAAAACTCTCGTGTGAATCCAGTATTGCGGCATATTTATACAATTTATACAATTTATTGCACCATGTAAAAACAAGCAAATACAGTCGTCATATATGAAATTATTCGATTAGTTGGTGAATTTAATATAGCCATTTTTTATTCCAAAAATTTATTTAAATTTATTGATTTTGAACTTATATTAATTACTTTGTATGACATATAACGATTTAATATTTACAATTTAAAAACACTCATTAAAATATTCAAGTCCATTAATATTTGATTCAACTGTCATTAAATTAAATGTCATATAAATATCATATAATATTCAAAAATATATTATTCTTCTTACAAATCATTTATCAGTTTTATTAGTGTTTAAAAGAATTTGAGGGAAAGGTGTTAATAATCATCAGCAAACAGTCTGTAAGTTAAATATTACTTATATTTATTTTGTACATTAATGTTATATGTCATATATTAAAATATTTATATATATTATAAATTCTTTTATCAAAACTTAAGATTTTTCTAAAATTGTGTACTGAGAACATTTGATTTAATATCTTCTCTATCATGTGAGTTTAAAAGCCTATGAGAATTCATACAGCTACCTCTGGCCATTATTACCACCAGAAATATATAAAACAATGGTAGGTGTTAGTCAGAATCTATCTTCAGATTTAGTAGATTGGTGATACACAGCAACAACTTACTCTATAATCTATAGTCTAATCTTTGTCTATAATGCGTTGATGTGGTGGATCACAATATGGAAATTGATACATCTCAAATCAATAAAAAATATTCAACTTCTCGCTGCTTTCTGCACAACGGTATCTTTAAAGACAACTGCGATGTCTGATCTGGCAATAATACCTAAGGGTATATCAAACTTGCTGTTAAAAGCCTTCTCGCAACATATGTGGGAATGCTGATGATGACATGCGAATTTGCTCTTAGAACAATTTAAAATAACTCAATAGACAAAACATAGCGCAATAGTCTAACTTATATAGACTAAATGACTCCGTGTCTTAAATGGAAAAAATGGTTCAGAAATACAATCAAACAGAAGTGTATCTTGAAGAAATGAAACCTGGTCATACAATCTTTAACATCTATATAGACAGTTAGCCTATGTATAGCTTACTGACATCCAGATTAATATACATATTGTGGGACGTTGGGATAGCGCACCGTTCAAAAAGTGGCCCCACTGAAGTAAAAGATTAGCCGAAGTAGATCATGTGACGACTTGGTTCGTTTTTCGTCCTTCGATTCTCGGATGTCGTTATTGAGTTAAAGCTGGAATGGCTTCCGTTCGCATAACTACATCAATTTAATATAGTTTAGTCTACATTATTTTTAGTTGTGTAACCACAAAGTAGTACTGCATTGTATGGTGGAGATCTTTCACTTGTTTTAATAACCGCAATCGCGCCCATAGCATAAAGTTTAAAAGGTCTTTCGTTATTCTCTATTATTCTCTATTAGTAAACTAATAATAAAACCAAATTCCATTGATTTCACACAATCCTTCTATCTCTTACATTTGTTTTGCAGTGCTTTTTTAGTAACAAATAATTAAGTAAATATAATTTTAATATTAATAGGTAATAACGATAAAAAAAAATTTTGCTTTATTTCAAAATAAGTCGCAAATATACGCATACATATATTTGAATAAAGTACAGTACACGTATTAAGGTACGTTCAAACAGATGCGGTACGGTATGGTACCGCGGTACATATATAATCTCATATGTTCTGTAGATACGATATAATCAAGGAATGGCAAACATATGCGGAACAGTGTAGTACTGTAAGGGCCGATTTGGCAGTCATAATTTAAGTCTGAAAACTCTAAGTATCATTTAAGTTCGCAAAGTTAATGACTCTAGCAGGACTTATGACAGACTTACGTTACAACTGTGAAATTGGCTCAGTAAGGACCATGTTATGTAGAGTGTAACAATGCTTTGCCTAAATGACGAGGCACAGATAGCCTCAGCTCTCATGACCAAATTAGAACCTACAAATTTGTTTTTCTCTTCCTCAATGACAATCCCTTGACACTTTACATAACATAACCCTCAAAATTCTTTATGCTTTGTATAATTTAGCAATATTTTAAATAAATTCATTTAAATTAATTATTGGCTTTTACTCATTTAAAAATGTAATTATATAAGTTTTTTTTATATAATATAGATCACTTTTTCCATGTTCAACAATCTTTTTATAATCATTTTAAACAGTCACCTCTTTAACAAAAACATCTGTCAAAAACATCACCTGAATGCAGTACTGCAGTGATACAATTAAATAACGTATCGCATTTGTTTTCGCAATCCTATATACCTAAATAGTTATATATATCGTATATTGTACCGTACCACTACTGTTTGGACATACTTTTATACGGGTATATACCCAACAGGCCCTTGAACCAATTGTTATATACTCGTTAAATAATTGATGGGTGACAAAGAAGAGTTGACATGTGTAATTCCTATTAATTCAAGGTAACTGTGATTAAGGATTTTGTAAAAAATCAAAGAATAACATTAACACGATGACACGTGCTTGATCTACTCTGACCTGGATGCCATATATGTACAGAGAACTATAGGCCTCATAGGTGAATACATCCAGAAATGGAAGATTAAAATTAACAACGACAAAACCAAGGCTATATTCAAAACACGAAAGAGCAGGCAGCGTCCTTCAGGAGGGAGCGTCGGTGACACGGAGATACGGTGGGAGGAAAGCATAAAATATCTAGGGGTCACTTTTGACTAATGGCTTAATTGGTATAAACATATGAAATGCAAACGGAACAATTGCTCTAAAATTCTACATCTTCTTAAAGTTAATATCAATATTCAAATATTTAGGCCCGCACTACTGTACGGATGTGTAACATAGAGCAAAACCTCAAATACTGTCATAAAACAATTACAAATAGCACAAAATTTGGCGTTAAGAAGATTAAGATTCCTTGGTATATTAGAAAAACAGACATGCATAGAGATCTAAGAATCGACTCAGTGAAAAAATATATCAAGGACAGAGCTCTAAAATTATTCACGTTGATACGTTGCCCAACCCTGCCCTAACAAACCTTAACTTCACCTCAGAACACACAGTAAGATATGCTTATCTACGGTGGGGCAGGGATAAAAGCCCCCAGCTATAAAATAGTAAAAGTGCGCAATAGCACTAACTCAAATCACAACAACAACAACATTAACTGAAATTTCAATTATAAAATATATTATCGTCCAAAGTAATGTACTTACTTAAATGAATAGTAATTCCTTAAAAATTATAAAAATCGTTTAAAAATTGTTTAAATTTAAGATAAAGCTCCAATTTTAAAATTAGCTCACATTACACTAAAATACAAAAACAAAAATATGAGTGTTTACCTTAAATCGCAAATTTCCACTAGGTGCCTCAGCGTATGGAATACCGCGAAATCGCATATATTTTTGATTTGTCCACAATGTCGTACCAAAATTTCCCAAGACAGAACCTTGTCCCTTTATATCAACAGTTATAGTCGGTCTCTTCCATTGGGCAGGTACGGCAATCGAATTTATCACGAATATGACGAGTAAGAATCCGACGAATAGGCCTCTCATTTCATTCAGAATTTAAATGCAACTAAATTTATTTTGAACGTGCTATTCACATCTTATCAAAATTCAGATCATAATCACAATATATTATATTTATAAAATAAAATAATTTTATCTTCATAATCTACAACAGACTTCGTTACTTAATAAATGACACAGTAGGAACAATAAAGTTACGTGTATTAATTTGTTTAGTAATCATAACATGACACCAGATGGATGACTTACACTTTTTAGTCTTGTAGATATTATTGCAGTTATTTATAATTTGAAATATTATAAGTATTATCTTAATATTCATAATGTTCATATTTATAAACTTTAGTACAGAATTTTTCCTAAAAATGTCAGAAGATAATTCGGTTTGAGGAAGGGAATAATTGTATCGAAATGAAGATGAATGCATTCTATATATTTGTCGAGATACAGGATATCAAAGATGAGCCAGTTTAAAAAACACGTTCATTTTAAAAAATTGCAGTATCTCAAAACTGGTTCGTCAATTTATTTGCATTTCTCATACATACTTGATGAGCCGTGCGGAAAAGTTGGCCGCACACTTGTAACGCAGACTTGTAACGCATATATATAACCTACTAATTTAATTTATTTAATGCCTTATTTTGTTTATATATTTGTGAATATATTGTTGCCTAATGTAATATGGTTATTATTAATAAGACATCTCATATATTTCAATTTATCGTTTTTAATTTAAGCGGTACAAATAGGCGGTCGTCTCTGATGTTATGCATACAGTCATGATCACGTTAAAAGTTTAATTCATTTTATTTTACTAACATTTTAACAAATTAAAAATTTTGGAATAATTGCAAGAAATTAATTTTAATTGAACTTTTGTCACGTCAGAGAGATTTTATGACCTCGTCACATTTATCAAAATATTGTTGCTCAATAAAAACTATCCGAATTTACGCCTTAAGAAAGCAAAAAAGTATAATATTGTGGGGCTATATTTCAATATTCATAACTTTTCAAATTTTAGTACAACCATAAAGTATTAAAATATTAATAAAAGTAGGAAGTTGACAGTTGTGATGTGATTCTGTGCAGAATATACTCTCTTTCTTGGTTACGTCCAGAAACAATCTTATACTGCCTCGATCATTCGTCATATGTCTATCTGCATAGCATGGCTAGTATTCATTTTTGATAAAAACAGTCGTAATGTCAGACATTCACCTTAAAATTATTTATTATAAAATTACGATAGAATTTAGAATAGAATAGAAATAAACAGGGAACCATAGTTGCGACCATGGTTGATCTTTCGTGCTGCTACAGACCTTAACCGAACAGAAGATATTCCACTTTTCGAATGAAAGCTAAAATGTTAGCCATTGAAGACCTCCTAATGTCAAAAGGGGAAAGTAATTCTCAACCCAGTGACCTCCTCCTGGCCTAAATCAAGGCTGGACCGTCACATACAATGTGACTGGAAGTTTCGTCTGCTTCTAAGCAGAGTCGACTGCAATCAAATCAACATTTTATAAAAAATCAAATATAAGTTTAAATTATTCTTTTTAATATAAAATATATTTTTTCATTAGAGTTAAAAATGTCTTGGCAAGAAGAAAAAGCAGTTGAAACTCTTGCAATACATACAAATAAAGGTGATGTGGAAATGGAAAATTGCTCAATGGAACTGGAGAAGGATGAGATGCTGTTACAACATGAATTAGAATCTATTATAATAGCTCTGAAAAATCCATTAAATATATCATATAAGCAGTTACTTGAGAGACTGGCCTATTACATACGCGCCTCTACCGTGACGATGACTTCTGTTCCCAAGCCACTAAAATATTTAGCTCCCCATTATGAGACTATGAAGGCGGTGTTTGAACTTATTATTGATCAAGATAGTCGTGAACTTTTTGCTGAAATTTTATCCGTTCTATCAATAACTTCAAAACGTGAACAAGATTGCCTTTTGTATCGCCTGAAATGTAATGCAAATAGCAGAATCACCGATTGGGGTCATGAATATGTGCGTCATTTATCTTTTCAAATTACACATGGTTATTTTCAAACGCCAAGCGTAAAACGTTTACAACTTATAGAACTGGTTAAGCAAATTGTAGTTCATAATTTGAAACATAATGCCGAGATTGAAACATGTGATCTCCTAATGGAAATTGATCATTTACATCTTCTACATGATTATGTAGATAGTTCATCATTTCCACGCGTTGCACTTTATTTGCAGTCCTGTCATTCCTATGTTACAGAGCCGGAAAAAAAACTGGCACTAAATACATTATATAAATTAACTCGTAAATTCAAAAATGCTTCACAGTCCATGTTTTGTGCCTTTCTCCTGAATGATATAGACAAAGTGAAGGAAGTGTTTAACGAAACTAAAGACTACACTGAACGTCAACAACTGGCTTTAATGTTGGCACGTCAACAAATATGCCTAGACTTGGACTTAGAAGAATCGGATAATGAAGCACTTGTAGAAATTATGTCAAATGGAAATTATAGTAGATATTTCCTAAGTTTTGCTCACGAGCTTGACATAATGGAACCAAAAACACCTGATAACATATACAAAACTAATTTGGAAAGTACCAGAACATTGTTGCAAGTTAGAAAAGTAAGTTGAATAAGTTAACAAAACTCCATAATTGATTATATATATAATTGATTTCTGTTTAAATAGATTGATTCAGCTAAGCAAAATCTTGCTGCTAGTTTCGTGAATGGTTTTGTAAATACCGGCTTTTGTGTAGAAAAATTACTCTCAGAAGATGGTAACAAGTGGATATATAGAAATAAGGATCATGCGATGTTGTCAGCAACTGCTTCATATGGCTTGGTATACTTATGGGATATTGAAGGGGGTTTGACAATGCTGGATAAGTATATGTACTGCGAACAGGTGTACATTAAGGCTGGTGCGTTACTTGGTTGTGGAATTGTAAATTGCGGCATAAACAGTGAAGTAGATGCAGCTCATGCACTGTTATCTGAGCATGTGGCATCAAAAGAACAGCCTATAAAAGTTAGTGCAATTTTCGGTTTAGGCCTTGCTTATGCTGGTTCAAATCGCAACTTAGTTATTAAAACATTGAAATCTGTATTTGAAAATATGATGGAACCTTGTATGGAAGTGTTAGGTATTACCGCTTTATCATTGGGATTAGTAAGTGTTGGTTCATGCAATGTGGAACTTACTGAACTTCTCTATCGTATCATAAGTAATTTACCGATCAGGGAAGCAGAAAACAGTTTTTCACGTTTTTTGTGGTTGGCTCTAGGTTTAATATATTTAGGCAAACAAAAATCTGCTGACGCACTTATACAAAGATTAGAAAAATTACAACAACCCTTTAAATCTCTAACAACTACTACAGTTGAAATTTGTGCTTATGCTGGTACCGGGAATTTGCTTAAAATTCAAAAACTATTGCATATATGCTTAGAACACTACCCCTCAAAGCATAAATCCTGTAAAGAGAAAATCGCCAAACAACCCACAGACAACAAAGATGAACGCGTTGAACATGATGCCCGAAAAGTTAAAACTAAACATAGACGACATGATAAGGACAAGAAACAGAGTAAGAAAAATGATGTCCTCATAGATATGACCATAAATGTTTTGTATATGGAAAATAAAAATAATGGTAACAAAAGCGCACACTTTACTCAGCGACTACATTGGCTAGACTTTGACAAGATTTTATTGTTCGAAAACATATATGCATTATTTTCTGATTTTAACTGTGAACAAAGTTATATGTGTTAGTGAAAATGCAATAATGTATGGAGAAAACTTGCCAAAAACAGCCAATGGAGACGCAGGGTTAGTTTAAAAACTGAAAGTAATGATATATATAAAATTATTACAGCTGAGAATAATACAGAGGAACTCCAAGGTTCAAAAGAAAAAATTATAACGAAAACTGAAGCCAGTACACAGACAGACAATGTGGCCGTTATTAAGGAAAACGAAGATGTAGTTGAATGCAGGGTTGGTTTAGAAACTGAAAATAATGATATATATGAAATTATTACAGCTGAGAATGATACAGAGGAACTCCAAGGTTCAAAAGAAAAAATTATAAAGAAAACTGAAGCTTGTACACAGACAGACAATGTGGCCGTTATTAAGGAAAACGAAGATGTAGTTGAATTTCGTTTAGAAGACAATAGTGGAAGAAAAATTGAAGTTAGTACACAAACTGATACAGTGATGAAAGTCAATGCCAGTACTGATATGGAAAAATTTGAGGAGAATGTCAAGGAAAATGCGCAACTCGTTACAGAATGTACAGAAAACAAAAAAGCCTTGCTTTCTGTACTAGTTAACAACCAAGGAGTTCAAACTATGCCTCAAACAAAGGACGTCAACAAATTTCAAGTTAGTTACACATTTAGTTTAAAAAATAACTTCAAAAAACAAATTAATTAATTTATCTCTCTTAAACTACACCACCGAGTTCTTTCAACCTGATTAATAACTATTTTCATCCACATATTATAATGTCCAATCCACACCTTTCTTAAATGTTTTCTTATATTGAACACTTTTAAAGGAACGTAATCTATCTATGATAAACTAAAAATTGGTAGTTCATTTTACCCAGCATACACATCCGGAAGTTTTTGGCAAGTTTCGAATATTCGTATTTTCCTACTAAAAAGCTGCATTATAAATTTTCGTTACACATTGGCAAGTTCCAAAAAATTTGTATGTTATGCAAAAATTTTGCCAAAATCTTGCCAGTGTAGCTGCTGGATTAGTAATGCACATATTAATTTACTAAAATATTTTGTTGAATCTTTTGCTACTTAGACAAAACTGGATGAAAAAATTAAGAAAGTATATGAAAAGAAAAAAATAGAAATGGAAGATAAGATTCATAAAACAATAGAGGAAAAGAAGAAACTAAAGCAAAAACATGAAGCCAAAAAACTGAATCAGATCAGAACCGATCTTTCATCTTCTCAATCAATAACGGTCGTGGGAATAGCCTTAATTGCAATGGGTGAAGATATCGGCATTGAAATGAGCACCCGTATGTTCGGAATTCTTTTGCGATATTGCGAACCATGTGTACGAAGAGCCGTTCCACTTGCAATTGGATTGTTATATGCATCAAACCCTAAAATGATAATACTTGAGATGTTGAGTAAATACTCACATGATAGCGATACCGATGTGGCACAAAGCGCCATCTTTGCTATGGGTCTTATATGCGCAGGAACTAATAATGCACGCAATGCTGCCATGTTACGTCAGCTAGCTCAATATTATGCTAAAGTACCAAGTACCCTATTTATGGTGCGTATTGCACAGGGACTCAATCATCTTGGTAAAGGAACTCTAACACTTAGCCCGTATCATAGCGATCGACAAATAATGAATCCTATGGCTGTAGCTGGTTTATTAACTATTCTATTTTCTTTATTAGACACCAAAAATTTGATAATGGGACACTCACATTACTTACTGTATGCACTTGTTCCTGCTATACAATCCCGTATGTTAATGACATTTGATGAAAACATGAATCAACTTCAAGTGTCAGTTCGCGTTGGGATAGCAGTGGATACAGTTGGTCAGGCCGGTAATCCAAAGTTAATTACAGGTTTTCAAACTCAAACCACACCAATTTTGCTATCAATGGGAGAGCGCGCCGAACTTACCACAGATGAATATATATCTTTGAGTGCAGTTCTAGAAGGATTTGTCATTTTACGTAAAAATCCAAGTTATATGGATATATAATTTATTCTATTACAATTTTTACATACAATTCATATGTTAATTTAATAAAAAAATAATAAATATATAGTATTACTGTTTGATTAATATTAATGTAATTTTTTAAGAAGGTAAGTATAAATATTTTACTGAATATTAATTAGGCGATTTATCGAATGACTATGCGAATGATTTTTGAACGGTTTTGGGTTGATTTGTGTCCATTAAGCGGAAATTTGCAACCCGTTTTTCACCAATGTATCTGCTTTTTTTACAATAACGGGTTACAATTTGAATCGCAAATAAATTGGACTAGGGGAAATAATCGTGTACTAAAGATTTAGTACAGCCAAATTTAAAAATTACTCTATTGTGAATGTTTACTGAAAATATATTACAAAATTCCAGTCATCCGTTTATATCATATGAGCAGATATAATAAATTGCAATATATCTTTTATTTAAATTAATTAATTTTTAGTGTTTAGAATTCTTATATTTCCTATTATACACAGCACAAAAAAATATGTCAAGAAAAGCATTTAACCTATCTTTAAAGTGTGTTAATTTGCAAAGAAGATAAAGAAAAGAAACTGGATTATTCAAATAATATTCGAAATTTTGTGTAATAAGGTGTAAATATCACGCAGTACAAAAACAAAAAACCTAATGCTACATAATGGCGCGTGAATATTTTCCCCATCCGGTCTTGTTATTTTGCCCACCCGGTCCCTACTCGCCACGATATTTGCTAAAGTAAGAGCACTTTCTGAGAAATTTCGTTTCTCGTTCGACAATTCTGGTATGGTGAACAAGTGAGAGAGACTTTTTTGCGTTATTACACAAAGAGGCACAATTACTCAAAATTTCCTCTCAGTTTCTTTTCTCTATCTTCTTTGCTAATTTGCTTCAACTAGGGTTAATGTTGTTTATTTACAACTCTGAAAGAAAAAATTACGGCTATATTTGCAGTGAACATTCACAATATACTGATTTCTGAATTTGGCTGCACTAAAACTTAAGACTTATCAATTTACTCGAGCTCTCACACAGTCTATGTGCAATTTTGTTTTTTAACCTTTGAGTTTGTGGCAGCACCAAAAAATATAAATAAAAGAACTGTCAACAAGGCACAAAGGAGACAACAATAGCCGCAGTTCCCGCCAGTAGTAGTTTGGAAAAAGAAAAAGCAGCACGTGAATAAGACGTAAAAACATAAATCTTAACTTTAAGAATATTTTATAATAACTAAGTATAAGAAATAAATAAACTTATCCATTACCAATACGGAGTGTTAAATTAACTTATCCATTACCAATACGGAGTGTTAAATTCGAAATAAACCCCAACATAAAAAACCACTACATTGGTGACCAAGCCGACGTCGAATATATAAAAAAAAAATGGCTACTCAAGAGCAAAAGATAACCGAAGACACTAACCCAATCAATGAAAACGCAACAATCACTGCAATAAAGCTGCCGATGCCAACATTAATAAAAAACAACATTGACCTTTGGTTTATTCAGTTGGACTACTGGTTCCAAGTCAACAACATAAAGGGCGATACTCAAAAGTTTGGCACAGTTATCGCAGCATTGGATGGATCGCTGTTAGAACAAATTTATAACACAATACAGAATCCACCAGCAGCTCAGAAGTACGAAGCTATCAAGCAAGCAATAATAAAAAACTTTGCGGATAGTGAACAAAAACGCATACAAAAATTAGTTAGTGGTTTACAGCTTGGGGATAAAAAGCCATCCCATCTTTTAAGCGAATTGCAACGTATTAGTGGAAGCAAACAAGACGAACAATTACTGAAAGGGTTATGGTTACAACGTCTTCCTGTAGAAGTACAGACATGTCTAGCCACAATTCAAGTGGAACTACCTAAGATGGCGGAATTGGCAGACAACATAACCGAAACAATCCGTATAAACTCAACAATGCAAGGAACTTACGTCAATGCAGCTAACGTCCCTGCAGCAGCTCATATTCAACGTGATGCACAAATCGAACAACTTCAACGAGAAGTGACCAGACTGACGAAAATGGTCTCGAAATTATCAACCGAACACCGCTCAAGAACAAATCAACGTTCACGTTCAACATCCAGAAACCGGCAATGTCATGATGATAGTGAAGAAAAGACCAGTACAAATTGTTGGTATCATAGAACATATGGGTCAAATGCAAAAAATTGCAAGCAGCCATGCACATATGGCACAAAAAACTAAAACCGACTTCGTCTACGGCGGCAGAGGAAGTTGTAAACGAAACATCTACAAGACTGTTCGTCTATGACAATAAGACAAAAAAATCATTCCTAATAGACACGGGTGCAGATGTTTCACTTATTGCCGCCAAACAAAAAAATTCAAATACAAACAATAAGAACGAAAGAATACTCTACGCAGCAAATGGTTCTACGATCAAAACATTTGGAGAAATAGAGATAACTCTAGCTCTTGGCTTACGAAGAAATTTCACATGGCCATTTATTATCGCAGATGTAAACACTTCAATCATCGGTGCAGATTTTTTAAATCATTTCGGATTAATAGTAGACATAAAAATGAAACGATTGATCGACACATCAACAAAGATTTTCTCAGCCGCAAGCGAACGTAAGGTAAATGCGCAAAAAATATCAACTGTGAACACATCTTGCAAAATTGCAGATCTACTAAAAGAATACATCGACATCACTAAACCAACACCGACAAATCGCCAGGTGACAAAAGTCACTCACCACATATTAACAAAAGGTCCACCAATATGTGAGAGACCACGTAGGTTACCTCCAGACAAGCTAGCAGCAGCAAAAGAAGAATTCCAAAACTTAGTCACAGCCGGAATATGCCGTCCATCAAGCAGCAATTGGGCTAGCCCCTTACATATGGTAAAAAAACCAGACGGTAGTTGGAGACCTTGCGGAGATTACCGTCGCTTAAATGCAATCACCATCCCAGATCGTTACCCAGTTCCTCACATACATGATTTTGCACACATGCTATATAACCAAAAAGTTTTTTCAACCATCGACCTGATTAAGGCATATCACCAGATACCAGTTGAACCGGGGGATATTCCAAAAACGGCGATCATAACTCCATTTGGATTATTTGAATTTACTAACATGACATTCGGACTTTGCAATGCAGGTCAAACATTTCAACGCTTCATTCACGAAGTATTACGAGATCTCGAATTTGCCTTTGCCTATATTGACGACGTCATTATTGCATCAGCAAACGAGGAAGAGCACAGGCAACACTTGCAACAAGTATTCGAACGATTCAGAAAACATGGTTTAATAATAAACGTATCAAAATGCGTTTTTGCTCAAAACACAGTAAAATTTCTTGGTTATCTCATCAGTGAAAAGGGCATTCAACCTCTACCAGATCGAGTGAAGAGCATCAGCGAGTACCCGCTTCCAACAAAAACAAAAGAATTAAGAAGATTTCTAGCATTACTTAACTTTTATCGCAGGTTCGTACCAAACGCTGTAGATTCTCAAACTGCACTTCAACAAATGATAAAAGGAAACAAGAAGAACGACAACACACCGTTATGCTGGACCGAAGTGAACAAAACAATCTTCCAAAAATGTAAAGATGAACTAACAAACTCGACACTACTTGTTCATCCGTCAAAAACTGCTACGCTTGCATTACAAGTAGACGCCTCGGATAAAGCTCTCGGCGCAGTTCTTCATCAAGTGACAGACAGCACGTTCCAACCACTCGGTTTTTTCTCTAAACGATTAACAGATACACAAAAACGATACAGCACATACGATCGTGAGTTGTTAGCCGCATATCAGGGCATAAAACATTTTCGACATATGTTAGAAGGTCGTGAATTCGTATTAATAACTGACCACAAGCCACTCACGTTCGCATTCCAGCAAAAGTCCGACAAGGCTTCACCACGTCAAGTCCGTCAGCTTGATTATGTAGGTCAATTTACAACGAATATCGTTCATGTCAGCGGAAAAGACAACATCCCAGCAGATTTTCTCTCGCGGATAGATAGTATTAGCATCCCAAAAATCGACTACGATTGTATAATTGGATTACAACGATGTTGCCCACAACTACAAGATATCAAAAACAACAATTCCATCGAAATCAAACTTTTATCTTTACCAACAATATCAGATAAAATTTATTGCGAAGTTTCAACTGGGCGAATTCGTCCTTACATTCCGCAGAAATACCGGCTACATATCTTTAAAGCTACGCATGGGTTGTCTCATCCCAGCATTCGGGGCACAACAAAAATGATAGCTGAAAAATTTTTCTGGCCTTCTATAAATGCTGATATCAGAAACTGGACCCGACAATGTATCCCATGCCAACGTTCTAAAGTGCAACGTCACAACCGTTCACCTATTTGTCAATATGAACTCGCTGAACACAGATTCGAACATATAAACATAGATATCGTCGGCCCGCTACCACCATCAAACAACTGCACATATATATTAACCATCATCGACCGTTTCAGCCGATGGCCAGAAGCAATTCCGATCCCAGATCAAACAGCGGAAACCATCGCAAACGCACTGATTACTCAATGGATCGCACGTTTTGGCGTACCCTTACGTATCACAACAGACCAAGGAAGACAATTTGAATCTTCATTGTTCAACCAACTAGCTGAAGTTATCGGTTGCAAACACTTACGAACTACGAGTTACCATCCTCAAAGTAACGGAATGGTGGAACGATTTCACCGCACATTAAAAGCAGCCTTAATGTGCCACCAAACAACTTCTTGGACAGAAGTTTTACCAATAGTATTGTTAGGTCTACGCACGACTTTTAAACCAGACATTGGAGCTTCTGCTGCTGAAATGCTATATGGCCAAACTCTACGTTTACCGGGCGAAATAGTAAGCAACCCTAGCCACAGAAATATAAATCAACACGATTTCATAACCAAGCTAAGAGAACAAATGCAGAGCGTCAAGGCAACGTTGGTATCGCATCATATAGACCGAGGCTACCACATCCAACCGGCTCTAAGCTCAGCCACGCATGTATTTATACGAAATGACAAGGTAAAACCACCATTGACGCAACCTTACGATGGTCCTTACCAAATACTAGAGCGAAATGACAAGACGTTTAGAATACTGATCGAAAACAAAGAACAAACAGTTAGCATAGATCGTCTTAAAGCTGCTTTCATATGTCCCGATACAGACATTGACATCCACAACAAATCAATGGTATACCACACTCCAAACAACGTTAATGGCGACCAGTCTGTGCGACCAAATACAACAGCTAACCTGACAAAATCAGGACGCAACGTTCGCTTTCCAACCAAATTCAGTGACTCCATCACTTAGGGGGGAGTACTGTGGCAGCACCAAAAAATATAAATAAAAGAACTGTCAACAAGGCACAAAGGAGACAACAATAGCCGCAGTTCCCGCCAGTAGTAGTTTGGAAAAAGAAAAAGCAGCACGTGAATAAGACGTAAAAACATAAATCTTAACTTTAAGAATATTTTATAATAACTAAGTATAAGAAATAAATAAACTTATCCATTACCAATACGGAGTGTTAAATTAACTTATCCATTACCAATACGGAGTGTTAAATTCGAAATAAACCCCCACATAAAAAACCACTACAAGTTTTTACATCGAAAATATTTTAAAGTATGTTTTGACAAATTACAAAAATAGCATAATGCAAGCAAATTACATTGTGTGTAAAAATAAATAATTAACATAAATTGAAAATTAAATTGAATACAGAATTAAAAGGAATGGTAAAAATGTTGAAAACTTCAAAATAAAACACTGAAATTTTTCTTTTTTTCCAATTTTCATAATTATGAAATTTTTGAATTTTTATTTACATATAATTTTTGACATATGATTGCAATATTCGTGGAGTTTCCAATGAAGGTTCACAATTGTTCGCTTATTGCTTTACTTTTTTTACTGATCGATGTGCTTGGCCAGTATACCTATACTGGCCGAGGTAGAGAAAATAGTGTTGTTGTTTTGCATACATTTCGAACAGTATAAGCCAGTAACTTGTTGTTTTTTGCCATACTTGCAAGCCACCGAAAAGGCCTAATTTTAGCTTTTATTTCGATCGTTATCTCTGTATACGTATTTCGGCAAATTCGCTTTTGCCTTCATTTAGAATTTGTCGAAATATATATAGTAATATACGCAAAATAATAATCTAAAATAATGAACTTAAATTATTAAAAAACAAAACTGACTTTAAGAAATTACGGCTGTTGCAAAATGTTCAACAAGTTCCAACATTAAACTGTGTTATCGACACTTCACAACTCTACATAAAATTTTGATTGACAACTCGTTGTGTAGAAAATAGCATTTGTTGTTGGTTGCTTAATATGTTAGATTTTTCATTGAAAAGTCATTACAAAAATTGTTAAAAATATATATATGTATTATTTACACATAAATTTGTGCATTTTAAAATAAAATTAAATCAGCAAAAATCAATTTTTAAGAATAATTAATAAAATATAAATAATTGATTTATTTTTTAAAGTAATGCATTTTGGTGAAAGAACTTGTAGAAGAAATTGCTAATTTAGTAATTAAATTAATAACAACCGGTGAGTGACATTAAAAAAATCCAAAATTATGTATTTTGATTGTGTAAAGTTTTAAAATTAAAATTCATAACATCAAAATATGGAGATGTTATTATGCAGAATTAGTGTGCCAATTCTTTCCTAAATTTTTACATATAATCTCAAATCTTAAAAATTTACTAATAATACATTTATGAACAGCAAAGTAAGTTGAATTTACATTTGATAAACATATAGCTTGCTTGTGTTATTGTATTGTAATATTCCCATGAATCGGGAAACTCAATGACAAAAAACATACTCTGTTATTTATATTAAATATTAGAAAACTCGCTCTGCGACCTAAATGTATATTTTGCCATTTGTATAGATTAAGAGTGTTCTTACTTTGCCCAGTTTGATTTGTTCCTCCAAAAGAACATAAATAATAGTATGTGCTTCGAAGTCCTATCATCTTTGCTATAAGACTTACAACTCCATTACAACATCAGCAGCTTCGTTAGCTGACAACTCAACCTCCATTAATCTGTCAGAATTCCAATAATTATTCTTTAATTATAGTTTCAATTTATTTCATACAATCCTAAAAGCTTTTAGATGGAAGGTTCCTTCAAGCGATTTTTTTAGCGATCGCTCTTATTAATTTGTTCCAGTATAGTCTTCTGTTTTAATTCTCTTTTCTAAATAAGTAAATAAACGTTAGTTTCTCTGTCTTGGGCCACAAGCAGGAAGGCTTTTGATTGATAAATTCAAAGTTAAAGAAACCATACCTATTTATTTCGTAAACTTCTATTTAAAAGATTGTCGTAGTTTTGCTAGCGTTTCTCAAATATTTTAACACTTGCGTTCCGATCCTTCTTTAATGAGGGAACTAATGCCCCGATTTGCGTTGTTAATTGTGATCGACAAAATGCGATACATTGCTCCACATATTTAATTTCCAAAAATATTCCGGTGTTTGACCAGTTGTTAATGGAGAATTACCTTTTAACTCATTGAATATTGACAGAGCCTTATTCTGAATTAGCATTTCGCTCAATGACATTCTTCTTTGATTTTAATTTTCTATCCAAATGGAAAGAAGCGACTCTATTTTTACAATTATTGGACTTCTAATTTTTGTAACTTCTTCGGCTAAATGTGTGACAATTTTTCCATAGTCGTTTATCTTGTCCGCATCACTATAACAAAATGTTCTTACAGTAGTTGGAGCTAAACCCAGAATTCTCCCAATGTTTTTATATAAGTTTAAAGCGCTTTAAAATGTCTAACTTCTCATCCAAGGAAATTTGTTTTCGCTTTTGACTTATTTTTATACATTGTAAGCAAAAATTTGCACTTCCATTTCACCACACAATTTATGGTCCTACGGCCAAAATATGACCTACGAGAAATAAAATGGGTCAAAATGAAACCAAAACTTTTTGTTTTGGCTACGCAATTCAAATCAACACAAATCCGGGTATTAGTGTATTCTGCTTTACCGTCCCAGTTCGCTTTATTTAAATTATTTGAATTATTTGCTCTATTACCCAATAACAGAATAAAATTGTAGATGAACAGGAACAGTAGACAAGAAAGTAAAAATTCTAGCAGATATCATTTCAAATAACCCACAATTTATTGTCAGTTTTCAATCTTTCAATAAACCATAACTAAATAGATCATGTATCATTATATGGCAGAAAGTTACTTTGTAGAAATTTAAAACTTCTTATGATTTAGACAACTACGTGAGTTAATATTATATTGTGCTCATTCTTAGAATAAGTATGAGTTCTAAAAAGAACTCAATTGATTCCGTTTACATATAATACATAAACTCGGTTATCTATTTATCTTGTTAAGTATGTTGCTAAAGTTTACATTCTTTTAAAAGTTTTATTGTACTTATATATAAATAAAAATTTTGAAATTTATAGGTATCAATGGGTTACGATTTACATAGATTCACTGGAGAAGTAGATGAAGAGTTGACATGTCCTATATGTTCTGGTGTGCTCGAGGAACCTCTTCAGGTATATATATTTTATTAACTTATTAATATAATAAATACACTCGATTAATATATATAATTACTCTTCACTAGGCTGCTATATGTGAGCATGCATTTTGCCGTGGCTGTATAACGGAATGGTTATCCCGCCAACCAACCTGTCCTGTTGATCGCACATCGCTAACTCCAACCAATTTACGTGCAGTTCCAAGAATTTTAAGAAATTTGTTATCTCGGTAAGTTATTTTAATAAAAAACAGAGATCTATCACATTCAAAATCTATACCTGATTTTTAATTTTATTTTTTAAAATTATTAATTAATATATATTATTTGTGTTTAATTGTAGTTTGTCTATAACTTGTGAGAATGTGGCTTATGGTTGTACATTAGTTCTAAAATTGGATGCTCTTAACTCGCACTTAGAAGAATGTGAGCATAATCCTAAACGTCCCTTGCCGTGCGAGAAAGGTTGCGGATTTGTTATACCAAAAGATGAACTAAAAGATCATAATTGCGTACGTGAGTTACGTACAATGATCCATGCGCAACAACAAAAACTAACTGACTTTAAAACCGAGATCTCTGATCATCATCTAACAATTAATGAATTAAAACGTGAATTGCAACTTTTTAAAGATTTTATGCGCGCTATGCGCGTTTCCAATCCAGCAGTCCGAGCCATTGCTGATCAAATGGAAAGAGATGAGGTTATACGTTGGAGTAGCACATTATCGCGTGCCAGAGTAACACGCTGGGGTGGTATGATTTCTACGCCTGATGAGGCTTTACAGGTATGTTTCTCAATTCATTGTTTACTGGTTTTTTTTACTTAAATTAAAATGTAATATACTTTTGAATAATTTTATAATTTAGATGATGATCAAACGTGCTTTATCTGAATCAGGCTGTCCCCCACACATTCTAGATAATTTAATGGAAAATTGTCATGAACGTCGTTGGCCACGTGGATTAAGTTCACTTGAAACCCGCCAAAATAATAGACGTATATATGATAGCTATATTTGTAGACGCATTCCTGGTATATATCTATATATACATTTATATATTTTATATATTTGTTAACAATTATTTCAATTTTCCAGGTAAGCAAGCCGTTCTGGTTTTAAGTTGTGACAATGCGCATATGTCAGAGGATGTTATGGTGGAGCCTGGTTTAGTAATGATTTTTGCTCACGGCATTGAATAGTAATATATGAAATAAGTGTTGTTTGAGTATCGATTGTATTAATTATATGTAATATAGTTTAAGTTATTTTATCTGCAAGTTTAAAAGAACTCTATTGAATATATATATATATAAAAGAACAGTAAACAGAAAGGGCTTCTCATTCAGTTTTGTACAAAAAGGTTCCAAACTAGAAAAAAAGCGCTATTTGTGATATAATTTTTGTTTAATAGAAAAGAAATATAATTAAAAAACGAAAACCATAGCACAAACGCAACATACGTCAGTTCTCTATGTTATGTAGTAATTAATTTGGCTGAGTGTAAAAGTTCTTTTCCAGTTATTGTTCTTTATATAATATGGGTACAAGCTAAAACCGTAGAAACTCGCATGCTAACAATTTTAAAATATAATTTCTATATAAAATTTATTATTATTATGTTATATACTAAGTAGAATTTTCTATTGAAACAAAATAATATTTTAGACACAGTTGACTGTTGATACAAAATATGACCTTTCAAAACGTCTACTTTAACCATACAGTAGATATTCGAGATCATTTTAACTAAATATTTAACAGAAATTTATTATGAGAGTGCATTGTATGAAAAAGCAAATAATTCAAATAGTGCACCTTGTTAATTTTTTATAAAATGGATAAAATTGAATATCGTTCAGTAATAAGATTGGAAATGAATGATTGTTGATTTCATCATTGTGATTCAATCAAATTGGAAATGAATTCTGATTACGGCAACTTTGCACCATCGTTAAGAATAATAAAATATTGCAAAACTGCATTTAAACGTGATCGTACGAGTGTTTTTAATGAAGAGCGTCCGGGTCGTCCAAAAGAGGTCACCACTAAAAAAAAAATATTTAAAAATCCAGATAGCAGATATGACAAACATATCTAATGAAAGTGTGTCGAATATTTTACATGAATATTTGGGTATGAAAAAGCTTTCGCCAAGATAGGTGTTTGCTAACAATTGACCAAATACGACAACTTCATCATATAAAACATTGCTTGAAAATGTTTATGCACAATCTAGCTGACTGTAAGCGTCGAGTAATGAAAATTAATAAAACATGGATTCATTACTTCACACCTGAGGAAAAACAACAATTCAGGTAATTCAGGTAGAGCCCCAGGGTAGTGCTCCCAAACGACCACGAACTCAACAATCGGCTGAAAATGTTTTGGCTAATTCGTCTTTGAAAACCACCAAACATTCGGGTCAATCAATTTTTATGTATCTATATATGTATCAATCTAGCTGACTGTAAGCGTCGAGTAATGAAAATTAATAAACATGGATGTATTACGTCACACCTGAGGGAAAACAACAATTCAGGTAATGGGTAGAGCCCAGGGTAGTGCTCTTAAACGACCACGAACTTAACAATCGGTTGGAAAAGTTTTGGCTAATTCGTCTTTGAAAACCGCCAAACATTCGGATCAATCGATTTTTATGTATGTCCCTATACCTTGATGACGTATTCGGTGACGGTTTGATCTGTTTTTAACTGGGTTGACAATAATTCAACGCACTATGTATATGTGTCATTTTGGACAGTTACGCGTATGCATGTTCCTTGATATAGACACTGTACTAAGTTTGATTAGTTAAGCAATTATTAATCGACACACAAACAGTTATAAATTGCTAAATTGATTTTTTTTAGTAATTTAAGCTGTTTTAGCATTAAGGTAGAATTAGCTGTTGTAGATGCAGCGCACGTAGAGCATAAAAATAGACAAATGCAGAAAAGTGTTTAATTATAACAGAGTGCAAGCAACGCAAAACAACATAAAAACACAAACAACACAAGTTAAACCCGATCACTAAATACTTCGCTTAATGTTGGTATCACTTGATATAAGATTTTCCTTACACTTACTATGAAAACCAAAATTTCAATTGATTTTCATATCTTCCCGTAATTTTTCTTTAGCGCGTATAATCGAATACAAATTATAATTTTTATTGGTATTTAAACTAAAAAAAATTAAACAATTTTTTTTGAATTTTTAACACTTTATTTTCTGAACGTCTGTTCAGTTTTAGAATCACTTAAAAACTAAAACTTAGAATCAAAATTATTAAAATCATAATTCAAAGAGAAGCAAAGAAATCTGAAATTGCATTTTAAGCATTTTTTGTGAAAAGCATTCTTGAGACAAAATACTGTCCAACGGATGTTTTTGTTTATTTTTGCCGATACAAATTATCTGGCAAAGCGCTGACCGTCTATGTATGATTATGAATTGATGGGGGTTAATAATTAGAATTAATTGTGATTATGAAATTATGACTTAACTTGTATTGTTTTTTAAAAGTTGAACTGGTCTGCTGATTTTTTATAGCTTTACATCTTTACCGTTTTCTTTGTTTGAGTCAAAAAATGCTCGAGCTATGCTCGAAGACATTCCAGCTATTTGATAATCAAATTGGGGAATATTTGAAGCATTAATTTTTAATCTTGTAATATATATTAAAACAAAAAACATTTTTTTTAACTCCGTCTTCTTCTTCATATTTCATTTTGATGAAGTTATGCCCTTTATGTGAAGAATACAATAAACAATATTAAACATTTATTTTTTTAGTTGCAGTGTGTCTTCAGTTTGCTAATGATAATTATAAATAACTTTTTTCTAGTTTAGTAAGTGGAAGTTACTATTATGATTAATATGTTATCATCCACATGAGCCTAAGAAAATAGTGTTAGATCTTAGTTTACAATTTTATTACATATAACAAACTATTTTATTTATTTTTCTAAAATTGTTACAAATTGTAGAAGAGATTTAACTTAATATTCCAAAATTATGGAATATTTTAATAAACACTAATTGAACTATTTTTATATATTTTTAGAATATTTTTATAACCATACCAATACTCTCCTCAACTAGTTAATTGCATAAAATCTTCTTTGACATTTCAATACGTGACAAGTCTTTGTTTTAAATTTTACATATAATAGTTAGTCTTCCCTTCATGGAATAAAATAATTAAAAATTTTGTCTTGATTGTTTGCATTTAATAGTTTCTCGAGTGTCAAAATCCAATTCCCGGAATTAGGAACTACTCCGTCATCACTTTACCAAGCACGTATATGCTTGTCTGAGGGGTTGTCTGTTTACTTAGTAGTTTATGGAGTGTCAAAATTTAATTCCCGAAACCATTCCATCAGTACTTTGCTAAGCAGACTTTGATTGTATGCATTTAGTAGTTTCTCGAGTGTCAAAATCCAATTCCCGGAACCAGGAACTACTCCGCCATCACATTACCAAGCAGGTATATGCTTGTCTGAAGGGTTGTCTGTTTACTTAGTAGTTTCTGGAGTGTCAAAATCCAATTCCCGAAACTATTCCATCATTACTTTGCCAAGCAGGCTTTGATTGTATGCATTTAGTAGTTTCTCGAGTGTCAAAATCCAATTCCCGAAACCAGGAACTACTCCGTCATCACTTTACCAAACACGTATATGCTTGTTTGACGGGTTGTCTGTTTGCTTTTAGTAGTTTCTGGAGTATCAAAATTCAATTCCCGAAACCATTCCATCATTACTTTGCCAAGCAGGCATATGCTTATCGAATAGGCTACAACCATAACAGCAGTTCCAAACATAATCGGTTTTAACCATTTTTATTATTTTATTTACCTTAAAACTTATATATTATTTATTTATTTATTTTATCCGAGCATACATGGCAGATATACATGGTATAAACAACCACGAAAAGGCATAATATGTGTCATTTTTACACTTATCATTTACTCTATTCCATATATCTTATTCAATATGATTTATACTACAAAGATAGTTATTTTCTTTATAGTGCTTTTATATGGTTTTAGTATTTTAGTATTTCAATGTTATCATTTTTATATTAATATAAATAAACAAATTACACTAAGTTAAATTTAGTTTATAATATAAACATTTCCTTTTTCACTACTCAGAGTTGGTTAAGCGATCTCAAGATGAAAACTATTTCTCACTTTTGTTGCATTAAATTGATTATTATTGTTTATTTTATAATTTAGTTTAATAATTAATATATACATAAATGTCAAAACTGCAAAAATTTATTTTAATTACTCTGATATACGTGACTAGTTTATAAATAATATAGTTTATATTCAATTAAATAATATATGAGAAAAATTGTCTGGAATATTAAATACTGTGTTTGTAATAAAATTAGGGAGGTGCATCAGAAGATTTAAAATTCATTATACATCACATGTCAATTGTATGAATAATAATTGATTGATTTGATTGGAGCACAAATTTAAAAATTTATGTAATATTTAATTAATTTAAGCGTAGCTTACTATTTTACTTTGAAAATCATTTTTGTGTGATTTCTACGTCAATAGATGTGCTCAGTTTTACTACTTAATTAATAAGTAAATTAGATTTAGGATTTTAAAAACGGATTGGGAACTTGTCACCACGTCACTGCATCCTTTGAGGATTATTGTGACATACCTACTTCAGTTCTATAGACGAGTAGCAGTTAATAACATCATTATGTCCTTTGGAGAGATGTTGCCTAATTCCGTTACAAGTGGATAAATAGTGAATAAGTACCGAAATGACACAAAATGTGTGCTGCTGTTTTCTCTTCTTCGCAACAAAGTCTGCAGCTATCGTCTCTAGTAAAATTTTTCAAATCCGCAATGCCCAGTGAGAAACCCTGTGACAAGTCGGATGCCACTTGTTTTCAGCAATAGTAGCTCTCTAGTTCTAGCTTCTGATTGTTACAGCATGGATTGTTTAGCTTGTCAAATAATTAATTAATAAATTATTTATAAAGTTATAATTGCTCTCTTGGGAAAGCAATTTTATATTAATATACAAGCTATAATTATATGGTCTCAAATCCTAACATTTTGAAGTTGTATTGATTGTCAATAGCTTACTCAGCTTTCATTAAATACAATTGATTGATATTACAAATTAGTTCAGTTTATATTTATATAAATAGTACAGAACTGAAAGATTAAGCCATCATGCGATATAGACCATTTCTTAACATGTCATAGAACATATGCTTGTAGAATAAGTATGGTAATCAATTGTATATTCATTTGAATACTATTTGTTGTAGTAGAAAAATGGTATTTGATATTATCGTTATTTATTCAAAAAATTCTACTATTAATTGGTTCATCTAATCGCTAAAAAGAGTCAAAATAAAAACTTAGAGATAGAAACGATAAAAGAAATTAAAAATTTTTAGACGAGATATATTATAGTCCGGCCTGATAAAATAAGAAATTCCAATTTTTTATGTAAATTATTGTCCTATACACAATTAGACCACTATATACTAAATGTTCTCCCATATTTGATGCTATTTTTCTTGTTAAGAAAAACTCTATTATATATATTAATACTCGAATCAGTTGTATAGTCAGCCAAAACTTCACTTAAAATAAATAAAAAGATCTGTTGTTGTACTTTACTACTTTTCGAAACCACTCTATATTAATTTATGGAAATGATATCAATATTAAATGTGTTAAACAATTTCTTTTATCCGAAGTTTCGTTTTCCAGGCTCCATTTTTTTACAACTGCTGTTTAAATTTGGCTGGCTTCAATTTCCGGCACTTATAATCCCCAAAATTAAATACTGACAATTCAACCAATAAATATTTCCAAAAACCAGTCAGTCATCTGAAATATTAGAGAGAAAGAGAATGATTAAAAATAAAGTTTTTTAATTCGATATTTTCGCACTATTATGCGTTCTTCTATCTATAGAACATTAAATTTTTAACTGTTTTCGTAGAGTTTTATTTTATATATATATGACTGATGTAGCGCTAGGTCATATCTGGAGTCCAGTTGAATAATATGATAAAAACTGAATTAAATGAATTGCAACATCTCAGGTATGAAATCAAAAACTTTAATTACGGAAGAAAATGGACTATTAGTCAGCTAAGAAAATTTCCTTAGAGGAAAATCAACATATTTGTTGTTGTGATTTGAGTTAGCGCTATTGCGCACTTTTACTCTTTTGTGACTGGGAGGCTTATCCCTGCCCCACACTAAACTTTAACTATACTAGAATTATTATCATTTATTTATCTTTTAAATGAGGTGGACTTAAGGTTTGTTAGGGCGGGGTTAAGCAAGGTATCAACTTTTGTGAATAATTTTAGGACTCTGTCCTTGATATATTTTTTCACTGAGTCGATCCTTAGATCTGTGTACATGTCTATTGTTCTAATATACCAAGGAATCTCATTTTTTGACTCAATCGTCGATATTTCCAACATTGATATTGGCCAGATACTTGAATTTTTTCATGTGTCCAGCTTTAAATCCAACTTTAAATATGTCCAACTTTAAATCCAGAATTAGGAACAATGTGCGATCAAAAGCGCTTGTTTAGCTTATTGAGAATGATTCGATCCTCCTTCCACTTCAACTATCTATCTATATTTATATACATATGTATATCTTCGTTTACAGGTTTTTGGGATTTTTTAGTAATTCAAGTTATGCAATCTTAATAGACAATTCTACCATTCTATCAAAAAGCTATCTTAGTTACTTTAAATTTTTTGTTTTAAGATGAGAAAGCGCTTTATTTTAAAGAAAAAAATGCTGATTTAGGAATCAGTTGCATCCCTCAAAGTACATATCATTCGCCTTTCTTATTCTATAAATAGTCATCTAAAATAAATACCCATATGTGAGTTTAGCTATTATTAAAAACATTACTTATTTAAAATTTAATTACCACTAAAATGATAAACATAAAACATTTGCTTGACTTCCTTTCCCTTGTAAAATACCATGTAAATACACATTACTTTTCCATAGTAACTCAAACTGGCTGTGAGACACATCCCTACGCAATGATCATCTGTTTTTGAACAGCGTTATGACGCACAAAATTTGATAGGAAATCGTTCACTGAAAACTAGTTTAATCTCAGCTCAAAGAAACCAGTTCTGCATTGTTTGAGTAAACAATGACGCTATTTGGGTTGTTTGAATGAGAGTTACTAGCTCAGGTAAGAAAATCAGATGCTCTTCATATTCTTTTGATGTGTTTCAATACATACGCTTGGTATATGTCGAAGTGAATCAACACTAAACTAGATTCCCAGCTAATAATATTGAATTTTCCAAATGTAGTAAATTTAAGAAGTATGCTTCGAACAGTACGGAGTAAAGAATAGAGAAGTTTATCTTTTGCCAATTATTGAGTGCGAATTGAGACTTTCTTGTGCAAACAAAAAAGTAAGAGTGCTCATCGATCTCATCAAACTTAAAGCTCTTGTTGCTACAGTCTTCATTTGAACTTTGCGAAATAGAGTAGCAATTTTAAAAATCGAACGTCGCACAGCAAAGCAATGAATATATTTGTTAAATTGGCACTTATAACGCTGATTGCGGCTACAGCAAAAGCTGCACACTTGAGTGTGATTAGTCAGGATGAAAATGTACCAAGTGCACCATTGCGTAAGTCCAACAATTAAAAACATTTCAAATTTATGAATTTTTTTTTGTTTGTTTATTGAAGCTTCCACTGGTGCTGCTGTTGATGAGGTTGTGGTTGAATCATCGCTTTACATAAAACCAAAGCCTAAACCAAATGTTCGAAGAATACGTAGCATACCTAATATTGAATTAGCTTCGCTTATAGAGCACAAACGTGTGAAGCGTATACCTCGAAGACAAAACAACGCGTTCCAACAACCAGAATACGGACAATCTCAAGCGGCTGCGAATGCTGCTGCCAACAATAACTATCAGAATCCTTTCGGTTTTGGTGCATCGCAAGCAAACGCACAGTCCCAAGCCTTTAATGCACAAGGACCTAGTGGGTCTTTCGGTGCTTCGTCTGCTGGTTCTGTCACACAAGCTTTGAACGCCAACAAGTTCGGTATACAAAACTCTGCTGGAGCATCTTTGGCACAAACATATACCTTACCAAATAGACAAACTATTAACTTCGCATCGACAAACAGTTTTGCTAATTCTCCTTTAGCTAATGCGAACAGCCGTGGAAGCTCAGTTTCCGTAAGTCAACCGATCAACTAAAACTATCAAATGAGACATTTAATGTCTCATAAAATAATAAAATGAAATGTAAACTAAAATAAAAAATAAATTTATTCGGAAAGTCTTAAAATTTTCTTTCGAAATACATTTTCAAACATGCGGTATTTTACGCGCGTCCGCGAATTATATACCTTTTTTTACAAATTCTTGTCTTACTGCTTAATTAAATTATTATGTGAATGCTAAACAAGTTTTTATTTTAAATTAATTCTTCATTAATTTAAAATGTAAATTAAAACATTGGTGATTTACAAAAATCACTAGCAATATTTTGAGATATTTAATTTAATCAGAGTCACTCTCATCTGACTGGAAGTCTCCAACTTCAATAGAAAATTGGTATTCTTGATCGCAGCCCAAATATGAATCACTCATGTAATACAAAGTGTACTCATGACGTCCTGGACTAGGAGCTATGAAATCAAGCTTGACTTTAGCTTTCTGTTGCAGTGTTAGACGCTTAATAGAAAGTAATGAATTTGCTTTCGGGTCGCCAATAACTACCCACCATCCTTCTTCACGTTTCTGTAAGCAAATAATAAATAATATAGTGTGAATATAACTAAATGTAGAATTCGTATTACCTGCGGGAAGAATGGTGCAATTACCGGACCGGTCACCTCATCTTCACGCTCTAACTGCACAACAACATTTACTGTTGAACCTGAATGTATACGATCTTTCTCAAGAACTTCAAAGTCCATTTCAATATTTGGATAACGATTACAAAATCTTGCAACATCTGCCATTTGTGCATCCGACAGCTGCAGTAAACGTGTACGATCATCGTCTTCAAGTTCCATTATATCAAAAACTGTTTCTATTTTCTGAAATTAAAATATTAAATAGACTGAATGTGGTCCAAAAATGCATTCACAAACCTTGTCTGTGCAACGTTTGATGATGTCTGCATTAAAGTGTGGCAACTGCTTTAAGTACGAATCTTTACTCCACATGGCTTGCGTTACCATTTGTGCAAGTTCCATAGCAGCTACAGCAGGTGACAACCAACCATTAGAACTCAGCACATCCACACAAGCCTGTATCAAGCGTATGGCTTTGCCAAGTATTATTTCTGTGTCGCCTTGCAATTCTGGTCCCAACTGTAAACGCGATAAGTGCGCTTGCAATAATAAATTTGTCTTTATATGTGGATCGTTGAATCTTTAAAAACAAAATCAATTAAATAATTTTAGATAAAATTTAATAACAATAAACTTACTTAGGTGCAGTTTCATTGGGTCCAGTTAGTTTATTTGGTAAACGTTGCGACAAGCTGCGTAATATATTTTCTTCATGATGTCGTACCACAATATCCTCGTACTCTGCTGCTGAAGATATGATTTCCAATAGACCACGTACTTTGGTTTTGTTGTTCAAGGACAAACTAAAGAGTTCTATAAATAAAAAAAAAATATTAAAAAAAAACAATTTAGTAGACTTAAATAATAGAAATGAATTATCAAATAATTGAGTATATATACTAACCGATAGTTGTGTAGTTTATATAATAGTACGCCGCAATCATACCCAAGTTCAATGGTAGAGTGTCCATTTCGTCCTCAATACTAATGCATTTGGATTGTTCCAGATCTGTTAATGTGTTTTCTACTAATTCAGATAAATGATCCGACAAGTGACGATGTGTGACACCTTGTAAGTTATAATAATTGGGATTTTGTGTTAAACGCCTGTAAAGGAAAGTCCAGGTCAAATAATCCACAGCATCTTGTTTGTTTTCTATGGTTTTGGTCACAACCTCCGCATTGAAATGATCGTGTAAGCGGTGATCCAAATGGCTTTCAATTGGCAAAGGCTCATTTAAAAATTTCTTAAAGAAGTCTTTCTTAGATGACTGACACATAAGCACGCATTTAGCATCGGCATCTTCAATTGGACGGTTTGCACGTCCTATCATTTGTAAAACATCTGTGATGGGATAGTCTTCATATGAATGATTTTTGCCATTATAGAATTGCGTATCCATTATTATAACCAAATGAGCAGAAATACTCATGCCCCAGCACAAATCGCGAGCGACAACCGCCACTTGTACGGCACCCGAATCGAACAGTTGCTCCACCAAACGTGAATCGGAAGCAGTTAAGCCTTCGTGTAAATAGGCCACTCCCTGCGATAACGTTTCTTTTAACGTTTTATCAGACATACGGTCAAGGAATGGTTTTATATCTTCCTCTTCAGCGTGGAAAAATCTATTACGTTGCAAATCTGAAGCACTATAAGTCAAAATATCAATTGCTGTCAAACGGGCTTGTTTACGCGATGATACAAACACCAGTACGGGTTTATGTGGACTGTATTTGATGATAGCATTATAAACAGGCTTTGACATTGTTGCTATACGTGTTGCATTATGTGTTACATTGAAACCTTGTATATGCAGTTCCAATGGTATGGGGCGTACGCTTGGATGAAAATTAAAAGTAGCATTTGCATTGCAACCCAACCATTGCGACACGTCACGTGCATCAGCCAATGAGGAGGACAGCGCTACAATACGAATTTGTTTTTCTATTTGTGAGGATATGTAGCGCATACGAGAACACACAACTTCCAAAACCGGTCCATCTTCTCCACCTACAAGCTGCAGTTCATCGATTATGAATAAATGTACATTTTGTACATTCTTACGTTGTTTCCAACGACGAGAGAGCACATCCCATTTATCGGCGGTGGTAACTATTATCTGACCTTTTGCAAGTAATTTTAAATCTGTGCCTGTTTCGCCAGTTAGTTTCACTACTTTTACTCCTATAGAACTAAATTTAGCTTGCCAATCGGAGAAAGTTAAATCGGCTAAATCTTCTTTTGATACCAAGTAGACACAGCGACCATCCGCATTCTGTGCAAACAACCGCATGATAGCAAACTCTGCAATTGTCATTTTTCCGGACCCAGTGGGCGCACCAATAAAAACGTTGTCATCACTATTGTACACCGCATTGAATACTTGCGTCTGTATAGGATTGAACTGTGGAAATTGATCTACATAAAATTCTTCGAATTTAGGTTTTCTCAATGCCGTAATAGGCAATGGTTGCAGATCAAGTAATTCTGTTGGTGGCATATTTTTTTCTGGTAATATTAAGTGTCGGAAAGATACCGGCAATTGTGTTTCTGAACCAATCCAACGATCTGAAACAATTCTTAGAAAATATTGTGGAGGAAGAGGCTCAAAAACTGGAACGAAAAACTTTATTTGATGCTCATCCTGTGCATATTTTTCCTTCAACAAAAAGAATTCATTATGCAATATAATCTCAGAGTCGACATCCTCTATCAAAATCCAGAATCCTTCCGATTGCCCATGAACTTTTTCGTCCCATTGAAAATCTGGTGTAATTGTCAGTTCTACCCTAAGTGTTGCGCGTGTGATAGGCTGTATATGTGTGGAAAGTTCAAGTTTTGGGAATTGATGCACAAATTTATGAATCGTCTTGCCTAATTTCGGTACACGTATTAACTCACCAATCTCATTTGGTTCTAAATCATACAATCGTTCCCAAGGAAAGTTCTTCTTCTCTAGTTTCTTGGCAATTTCATCAGGCATTTTTTTGAATTGTCGTAGTGGCGTCATAGACTGCCACATTCGTCTATCGATCATTTTGCATAGAGTTAGTGTTTTGTCGGCTAGTTGCGCCCAACCACGATATAAAACAATTTCAAATATTGCTCGCATCAGTCTTGATGCGGATTGAGTTATGAAAACCATATCTGACATTAGTGCAAATCCGTCCAATTTAAGTTGTGATATATAGGCTTGCAGTAACACATTCACCTTAGCGCTATTTTCTTCCATAGATTCCTTTATTGGGATTGGCACACGTTCCATAAGTTTCTGTAATTCCAACTTTTCCTCCTCCCTAACAGCTATGTGTTTAAATTCACTAGAAAGCGAAAAGACTCGGAAAAGTTCAATTTCACTAAGTGTTTGTTTGAGAAGTTGATTGTAAGTCATCATAGTTTCGTGTGTGCAATAATAATGAGAAGCAATACGACCAAGTTCGGTTACTTGAAAATGACCACTTTTGCGATCATATTTTACTAAACCACTGCGATCCAAGTGCAAGGCTGCTGTATGAACGATATCAGCACGATGTTGCTCTAAATATGGGTCATCTTTTATGCTGTCATGAGAGATGCCATATAATGTAGGATTATGTAGCATTCGTATATACAAATAAGTATAGCCCAACCAGATAACAGCATCCTTGACATTTTGCACGGTACCCAGCACGATTTCTGCATTTAACATATCAGGCATTTTGGATACAAATTGCGATTCTATCGGAAGCTGCTGATTCAACAATGACAAGTAAAATTGTAATTCACTATGATTTGTTATTAAAATACCTTCACCCTTAGTGTCGTACTGTGGACGACCAGCACGACCTAACATCTGCAGCACATCAAGTGCGCTAAGCTCAACCCAACGACCCTTTTCAGGATTATAAACTTGTGTGCCTTTTATAATTACGGTATGAGCGGGTAAATTTACACCCCAAGCAAGCGTAGCTGTGGATACTAAAACTTGTATATGACGATCAGCAAATAAATCCTCCACAAGTGTCCTATCCACACGTGTCATGCCTGCATGATGTATAGCAAATCCATAGGGCAATAACTCTTTCAATTCAGGATTTTTTACTTGATCCGCTTCAGTACGTAAAACTTCCATACTAGCTGAACCTTCACGCAGAAAACTGCCAAGTGTATCTTTCTCTAGGCACATGTCGCGTACAGCACGGGCGGTTTTACCAGTTTCTTTACGTGAATGCACAAACACCAATACTTGATTGCGACCAGCGTGTTCCATTGTCTTTTCATAAACAATTTCATTCATTACTTGAAAACGTTTTAATGCTTTTTTCTCTGTAACTCCGATGTATTGCTGTTCCAAAGCTACTGGCCTGAAACTGTTGTCAAAATAGAATAAACCTTTATCCGGTGAGACACGCAAAAACATTGCAACATCTTGATAATTTGGCAATGTAGCTGAAAGTCCAACTAGACGAACAGGTTCTTGAGTTGTTTCAATGTTACGTAGGGTGCGTGCTACCAGAGCCTCTAGCACAGGACCGCGCTCGTCATGCAGCAAATGAATTTCGTCAATAATTACAAGACGAACTAATGTGGTGAAGGTTTTTTCACCACCTTTTCGCGTGATTATATCCCATTTTTCGGGTGTGCAAACAATAACTTGCGTTGCAGCAATTTGTTCACGAGTTAGCTGATGATCCCCTGTCAACTCGGACACAGTTAGATTATAACAGGCCAGACGCCGTCCAAAATTTCCCACCATTTCTTGTACCAGTGATTTCATTGGAGCAACATATATAATTTTAAATTCATCTACATTAATAGTGCCATCTTCGTTGATGTGTTTACCAATCTCTCGCATCATTGTAAGCAATGCAACATTCGTTTTACCAGCACCAGTAGGTGCACACAGAAGCATGTTTTCTCCACTATCTAATGCCGCTTTCCATAGCCTGCTCTGTATACGATTAAGTGTTTTGAACCCATCGAAAACAGGTTGCACATATTTTGGCAATTTATCTATTGGTTGCAATTCTTCTTTGTCATCAAACGGTGCCGGCTTTAAAGCTGGAACATGTACTTCCTCATAACCTTTACGTTGCTTACGAAATGACCCATCAGGTAGTTGACAACGTTTATTTGCCATGAAATGTGAACCTTGTGTAAAAGAGAGCTCGTCAAGTTCCAAAACTTTGCGAACACCTGCTACTTGACCAGCCATACCCTGACCACTATCCTCATTCTCCTCCTTCCCACGCTTATTTTCATAATCACGTGAGTTACCGTATTCATCCTCTTCCGATTTACCAGTATCAAGTTGTCGCAATATTTTTGCCAAGTGGCTGTCATTCCGCATCTTCTCACGTATACGTTGCCTTTCACTATCAGTTTGAGCTGAAGCCAACATTGTGCAGTATAAAATCATTTGACGATTTATTTTCAATTGCTTTATAAAGTCAAAGCAATCATATCCCAATAGAAGCACTAATTGATTTTCGCAATCTCTTTCATCTGCGGCATCTTTCAAAATTTTGAGCACATCAGCTGCTTTACTCTGTGAAACCATAGCATCTTTGTAATATTTACTAAGACAACGTTGTAACCAGTAAGCATCAATATCTAACGGATGAAGGCCGCGCTCTTTCTTGACATTTGCAGTTTCTTCAGCCAATAACTAAAATAACACAAAGAATATTATAGTTTTGTAAAGTAAAAGCGAAATTCATACTTACATTTTCAGCATGCAACGTGTGATCAATACGAGCTTCTTCGCCTTCTTCCTGGCCATCCTCATCTCGTATTTCGCCATACATATCATTATCACTTTCTTCTTCTGATACTTCAAATTGCACATTGATCCCATAGGTATCATCAATTTGTTCATCATTGGTAGGTAAATTTAAAGCATTAACAGCATCGGAACCAAAATCAGTTATTTTTTTGCCCAAATTAACTAGGAGCGCAAATCTAGAATTTTAGTATTAAGCATTTATAAATAAAAACTTGATTTCACTACATACCTCTCATCGGTAACTGAGCCAAGTAAACTATCGATTTCTCGTTTGCGTTCGCGTTCTTTCAATTTATCATTTTTCAATACAGCTAAAATTTCATCTGCAGCACCACACAATATATCTCGCGGTTGATCACCAAGTGCCTCTTGTATAAAACTTAGTAGCACCTCGTAGGTTTGTCGAGTCTCTTGCGTACGTGGCCGATAAACTATGCCCACCATTTCATCAATACCTTCCGATAGAAGTGTTGCACCCTTCATACGTTCGAAATCATATTGTGCTTCATCGCGTTTCTGTCTTTTTACTTTGCGTTCTTCTGTCTTTTCAGGCTTGGTGCGTTGGTAACGATCACCCATACGTGTTCCATCTAACTTCCCGACAAGGGACACAACTTCACCGGTAGCTTCATCTCTTCGTGGACGTTCAATTAAACGTACATCAGCTTGCAACACAAGATTGGAATTCTAAAATAGATCAATATAATTATTTCTGCAAGCAAACATTACATTGTGAAATTTATATTTTTGCACCAAGCTGCTTTTGTCTACGGTGTTAAGTACCAGAAAAATATTATACTTACCGCTTTATATTCATATTGCAGCTGGCGGGCAGCAGCATCAGCCATTGTTTTAACTTATCAAAACTAAGTTTTCACAAATTTATTAAATATAATTTATTTATATACTTTTTCATAAAAGCGCACCCGCTTTTTAACTCTTTTTTGTTTTCATTCGCTGTTTTCACGTTTTCTGTGAAACAGGGATGCTATAAATTTCCGAGCAAAGAATAAATGAGGGTAAAAAATGCTTTTAGGTAAAAATTTGTCTTTAATCTCAAAATCTCGTGTCAATATGTAATAGAATTAAATATTTTATTCATAGTAAATAATTAATTAAATAGAATTAAACAGGATATACAAAATTTAATTGCAATTGATAGAATATTTCATTGCATGTCCTACAAATTGTTCTTAGAATTGAACATAATAAATGATATACTAAAGATTGTTCCTAATTCCACCTAGGACGTGTGCGAGGTATACGGCGTTTACATTGGCCAAAAATGGCTCATTTTGAATGAGCCATTTGAAAGTGTTTACATTCGTTGTAATTCGTTTGTTCTCATTTCAAACAGCTGATTTTTCAACTTGCTTGTTGATTTGATTTTTGGCCTGTACCAAAAAAATATTGCATGAAGGTTAAATACGCTTTCAAACCTTACAATATAAACTTAAAACATATATTTAACTTCGATTAATTACCTTTTGGGAAGTAGAAGTTCTAAAAAGAGGTGCATCGCTTTCAAGAAAATGCAACCACCAAACATTTGTTTACCTTTTTTTATAAATATGTCTCAAACTGTCAAAATGCCATGAAAAGCTTTTATTTAGGGTATGTTTAATGGATTCCTTTGCATTTGAAACATATGTGGAATGCATTCGAACGTCTTTCACACAGAATGTGAGAAAATTGCTCATTTTCGCGCTTGAAATTTTATATGCAAGAATGAGCCATTCGCTACTCATTTAGCCATTTTCGGCCAATGTAAACGCCATATTAGGCTAAGTTGCGTTCTAAATGAGGGAAATTCTAAGTTGTGCCGATAATGTAGTGATATGACGATACGTGTTGATAAGTGGCTAAATGTGTGCAGTGCAGAAAATCCCAAAAAATTTCCCATTTGGTTTAGCATTAACTTAGCCTAACTCGCACACGTCCTTAACTTCGGAAATTATAAACACAATAATTGCTTACGTTTTTTTAAACATTTCTGAAAAGAGGTCATAAATATGCACATTTCATTTCGTATCAGTGCAAAATAGTATAGCTGTAACTATTTTCAAGTTTTCATTTGGTCATAGTTTAAATTAAACAATAAGTGCTTTCGGCAGCTCGCAAGTGTAACATAAAACAAGTTGCTGGCCTGCATTCGCTAAGCGAGACATTGGTATCACTGTTGCAATCTGTCCAATATTAAATTTTGGTAATCAGCAAATCTTGCATACGTGCACATAATGCAAACATTATAATTATATTTTACATAAAAATAAATAATTTATATAAAATTGAAAATTAAAATGAATTTAATGCAATGTTAAATTTTTTATAATTTTCAATTAAATTTTCTTCGTGCACTTCTATAAATTTTTGTATATTTGTAACTACATATTTTTAAAATATTTATTTTCCACCATTTTGCATATTTTTAGATATTTCATTTTTATAATTTTCAAATTCATTAAATTTTAGAATTTTGTTTGAATATTTGTTTACATATAACTTTTGACATAAGATTGGAATATTCGTTGAAATTTCCAATAAAGGTTCACAATAGTTCGGTCATTGCGTTAGTAACACTTTTTTTTTACTTGCCAAAATGTTTGACCACTTCACAACTAGGTGCTAAAGTAAAGAAAATAGTGTTATTGTTATGCTGTTTTTTACCACACTCGCGATCCACGTAACATAAATATAAAGAAAACGAAACCACGATTTATTTTACATTAATTTTTATTTTATTGATATATCAGCTTTGTAAAGTCTAAAGTTAATATTATGATGATGATAACAATTTTTATAAAACAAATCGTAAGTTTTTTTTCTTAATTTTTATTTTAACAACTATTAAAAATTTCACTATTTAGCCTGTAAAAATATTTTATTAAAATCGTTCAGCTATACAACAATAAATATTTTTAAACATATAGTAAACAATAAACAAATACATTAAAAAATAATAGTAGTTAATTATTTCAACTTGAACTTAACTTTATATTATATAGTTTTTAATTTTCAAAGAATAAAAACTTAATTACATTTAATATAATTTAAATAATATTATTTATTGCTTTGTTATACGGCGTTTACATTGGCCGAAAATGGCTCATTTTGGTCAAAAATCGAAAATGAGTATCGAATGGCTCATTCTTGCATATAAAATTTCAAGCACAAAAATGAGCAATTTTCTCACATTCTGTATGAATGACGTTCGAATGCATTCCACATACGTTCCAAATGCAAAGGAATCCATTGAACATACCCTAAATGAAAGCTCTTCATGGCATTTTGACAGTTTGAAAAAGCTGTTTTTAACATATTTACAAAAAAAGGTAAACAAATGTTTGGTGGTTGCATTTTCTTGAAAACGATGCACTGCTTTTTAGAACTTTTACTTCCCAAAAAGGAATTAATCGAAGTTAAAAATATGTTTTAAGTTTCTAATGTAAGGTTTGAAGGCATATTTAACCTTCATGCAACATTTTTTTGGCACAGGCCAAAAATCAAATCAACATGCAAGTTAAAAAATCAGCTGTTGAAATGAGAACAAATGAAATAGAACGAATGTAAACACTTTCAAATGGCTCATTCAAAATGAGCCATTTTCGGCCAATGTAAACGCCATATTATTGTCGTTTTGTTTAGCTGTTTGCTTATTTCATTGCTTTATTGTAAAGATTGATATGTAATATCCTATTAATCGCTAACTCCATTTCTTAGTTGCATAGTTCAAAAAAAGTACACGTTTAGATTATTATACTAATATCAATACATATCCATAAAAAGTATTTGACTAATATATTTAAATGTATTTTATTAAAAAATACATAAATTTAGTTCAATTGAATTTCAATACGTTCGTTTCTTTTTAATAGTACATTTATACGGCGTTTACACTGGCTGCAAATGTCTTATTTTAAATTACCTATTTGAAAGTGTTTACATTCGTTGTTATTGATTTATTCTCATATCAAACAGCTGATTTAACAACGTGCCTGTGATTTGATTTTCGCCTTGTGTCAAAAAAATGTTAGATGAAGGTAAGATATTTTTTAAGTATTTTTTTGAGAAATAGAAATTCCAAAAAGTGGTGTATCGTTTTCAAAGAAATGCAAATATCAAATATTTGTTTAGCTGTCAAAATGCCACGAAAAACTTTTATTTAGGGTATGTGGAATGTATTCATTTGCATTTGTAACTCATTTGAAAATCGTTGGAACTCATTTATACAAAATGAGATCCATTGCGCGAGTGTGGAAATCAGTCATTTGCTTCTCATTTGTGATTTTTGACTCAAATCAGTCATTTGAGGTCACTGTATAAATGCCATATTACTCTATCGCATTCTACTCAATACATATACACCAATAGGTTTGTAAACAATGTTTGTAGTCTGTAGAGTTATTATAACATTGAAAAATTAATTTAAAAATATGTCTTTATATATTATTTATAATTAATATATAATAAGATTTAAAATTTTAAAAGTGAAAATTATTTTTCAACTGGCAATACCCTACGACATATGACTAATTTTTGCGAATTGCAGGTAGAGCGCGCTTGTTCTGTCTATCAGAAATTATACCCAAAGTGTTTCTTTTCGTAGACCTCTGCTCGTGTCCGCTGGTGCCGACTTATTGTAAGTGATCGAAATAAATTTTATTGCATAATAAACTGATTATAAAACAACAACTTTTAATAAATCTGTTATAATAAAATAAAGGTAGATAAAATTGACAAGTCTATGACTATGAAGCAAAAAAAAAATAAAATTTTATGTAAATTAAAATTGGAAATCTTTCCCACGTTATGTAACCTATAAATGCAGTTGCACTGAGCAGCAAGTGAAAATTCTAGATTTCGAAGAAAATAAATGACCTTGGTCATACATTTAAATATAAAAATTTGTAAAAAGTATTTATTTCTGGTATATTTCAAAATTTAGCGTTTGACAAGAATTTGCTGATAAAATGTTCTCATCACTAATCGAAGCTGCCAAAAACTCACCCTTCCGGACGCCTTTCTCCAAAGTGCAATGTGACAACTCTGCTAAAAGTAATGGGCCAGTAGTGGGTCGGGAGATTCAAGCTGCATCTACTCCTGTAGCATCACCTGGAGATTCCTGTGAGTTCGGCAGTGCGAAGTATTTTATGCTGTGCGGTATTGGTGGTATTTTGTCTTGCGGTTCCACACACACATTTGTAGTGCCATTGGATTTGGTGAAGTGCCGTTTACAAGTTGACCCAAAGAAATACAAGAATCTGGTACATGGATTTAAAGTCACCGTAGCGGAGGAAGGCGCCCGTGGGTTGGTCAAAGGTTGGGCGCCAACATTTTTCGGTTACTCTGCACAGGTAAGCAAAATCAATCAGAAAATATGTTTATTTAATTATCCGTCATAAAACAACAAATCAATTTATGCTTCTGTCAGTCAAACTATTGATTTTTTTTTTGTCGATAAACGAAGTGAAAAGCTAATTGAATTTTTCCTGAATACAAACACAAAAATAACATTTTTAATATATGAATTAAAGTTCAGGTTTTCTTATCATTAAAAATGTTATTGTGTTAATCCAAAAAACGTGATTCAGCTAATTTATTTATTTGTCACGTGAAGACTGAAGACTTGGAATCTGCTTTGTTGCCAAAAATTACTCAATTTTTTAAAGTATCACTGAGAGAATATTCTTTTTTTTATTGAATTATTTTTAATCTTACTTGAATGATATATAATTATTTCTCATTCAGAATATATTTTTTTGAAAAGATAAGGAGAAAAAATAAACAATCATAGTATATTGATTGGAATATATATACAGTATGACCTCGATTAATGCAACTAATAGAATTCGTTGGTGTTGCAATAATTGAGGTTGTTGCAATAATCGAGTATAGTTTATTTAGTGCATCTAAAGCTGTTAAAACAAATAAAGAGACATTAACACAAAGTTTATTAGAAAATAATATGATTACTTATTTTTATCTATAACAACATAATTGTTATTTCAGCTTGCTATTTATTGCAATTAAGATTCATTGTAACTGTAACTGCATTACAAGAGGTATGGAATTTTCCTCAGCCCATTGTATGCCTGTGTTAAGTGCATTTTTTGGCACGATATTTTTGATTTTAAGTGTAAATACATGACCTCAGTTTCCAAGTCGGAATCGATGTCAAGTTATTCTGCAAGAGACACATTTTCCATAGAAAATTCGTTGATCCACTCATCCATTTCTTGTTTAAAAAAAATATCTGAAATAATTTCATGATTTCATAACATTCTTATGCACCGGGAGTGTGTTCGCAAATTTTTATGATTGAGTATAGGAGACCAAATAAATACACATGATAAATTAAATATTAAGAATGCAAAAGAGGAAAATAATTAGCAAAAGTTGCATTCTTCGCATTACAAAGGTAATACAGGGAAAATTTAAGAGGTTGCCATAACCGAGGAGTTGCGATATTCGAGGGTTGCATTAATTCAGGTCATACTGTAGACATATAGGTAGACATGTTTTAAAATAGGTAGACATATAGATCTATATATCTACCTATACCTATATATCTATATATATACCTTCAAATCTATATAATGGATACCTATTTATTTATGTGCTTATTTATACCTGACATAGTGGCATTAACTTTTCGTTAAAAACGTAATGAAATGCTTATCAGTCTAGAAATTGTAATCTCCTTAATGGCAAAATGACTTTAAATAATTAGATTTGTAACAAAAATACAAAACAATTATAAATTTTATGTAAGTTATGTAAAGCTGTAATGTATTGTTTTTTATTTTCATGAATTATTTTAAATATTTTTTTAAAATTTAATTTTTCAAATTAATTTTCTTTTTATTTCTAAAAGGGTCTCTGCAAATTCGGTCTTTATGAAGTCTTTAAAGTATACTACCATGATATGTTGGGTGAAGAAAACGCATACTTGTATCGTACTTGGTTGTACTTGGCTGCTTCAGCTTCGGCTGAATTCTTCGCCGATATTGCTTTGGCACCACTTGAAGCTGCTAAGGTAAAAATCCAAACTATACCTGGATTTGCTAATACCATGCGTGAAGCTGTACCTAAAATGATGAAAGAAGAAGGAGTAGGCGCATTCTACAAGGGATTAGTGCCTCTATGGATGAGACAGATTCCATATACCATGATGAAGTTCGCTTGCTTTGAGAAAACAGTTGAATTATTATATAAGTAAGCATTTAAAATTTATATCCCAATAATTAAAATACTATTCTATAATGTATGAAATGTATTTATAGGCATGTTGTACCAAAACCACGTGCTGATTGTACAAAAGGTGAACAGTTGGTTGTTACATTTGCTGCTGGTTATATTGCTGGCGTTTTTTGTGCTATTGTCTCACATCCAGCTGATGTTGTTGTCTCTAAATTGAATCAAGCTAAGGGCTCTTCTGCTGTACAAGTTGCAAAATCTTTGGGCTTCATGGGCATGTGGAATGGTTTAATGCCACGTATTATTATGATTGGTACGCTCACTGCCTTACAATGGTTTATCTATGATGGCGTCAAAGTAGCTTTGGGTATCCCTCGCCCACCACCACCAGAGATGCCAGCTTCTCTTAAACAAAAACTTGAGAAGCAACATTAAATTAATTTATAAGTTTTAGTTAAAAATTTAAATCGTAGAAACTCATTGAGCTAAAATTCGAACTACAGTAAAATGATTATAACGGATAAATTACAGCAACAGCGGAATACTGCATTACCTTTAACAACAAACACACTAATTGGCAAGTTGGTTATTTATGCAAAATAACACGAAATAATGGAATAAACAAAGGCATTTTAGTTAATTTAAGTAATTAAGTATATTTTGCTCTGATCTAAATGAAATTCTTTATTTAGAGAATTTCATATATTAATGCATTTTGAATGGCATTCCATATACAGTGAATAACTAATTTTTTATTTAATATATTTATGCATTTTCTTTGCCAGTTTTATTTTTAACTGCTACATATGAAACAAATATTGTATAAAATAGTCAAATATTCGTATATATAATTTTAATGTATATATTATTTTCTCTGTCTATATATTTTAATGAAATGCTTTTGTTCGGTTATGAAAACGATACTTATATTTTACTTGTGTGTTATAAATTAAGATCAATTGTATATTATACCAATTGTAAGTGTGTAATAAATTATTTAAATTAATTTAAATTTCATTATTTTTCTTAAACATAATACTGATAAAAATGATCCGAAAAAAGGAAAGTACTAAAATAATTGTATATAGCATATAATATTGTTTGATGAAAAATGACTTTAGAATTATTTTATTCACATTATTTGTAATATGCAGAAATGGGGATGAAGTTAAAGCATTTAAAGTATTTCATTAATTCAATTCTAGTAAATGTGTAACAACAAATATTTATGCACTAAGTGTAATACTAACTACTGAGGTGAAAAAAACACGATTTCATCATACAATGAGAACTATTCTCGCTAAACTGAAGTCAGAGAGTAATCATATATTAAAGTTACTTGTTACGCATAATGTTTATTCACAATGTGTGCTATAACTGCAGTTATACTCCTCGTGACGTCGACCATTTATTTTCATGCCTCCTATTAAGGCGAAAAGATTTCATAACATATACCTATCCACCCATTATGATCTCCCTACTTTTGTCTTACATCACCTTATTTCCCTCATCCCACCTCATTATGTGCTTTTTTTTCATTTGAGCGTTGGTAATAATGACTAACTGCAGAGTGGTTAATGTAATGCCAATATGCCTGGGAATGCCTCAAAATGTGTGAAGAAGGAAACAAATAATAGCTGATAACTCAGAGGCCAGTGTTTTTCTAAATCCTTCTACCAAATTCGCGATTGCTGAAGCCATGGGTGTTCTGAGCTCTCATTGCAAGGTGAGGGATGAGAGCTTAATTATGGTTCTATTCCAAAACCCTAAAAAACACAGGTTGCCTCTGTGTTTGATTCTCCTATAAGAAAGCCGAAGTAATAATTACCTAAGAAATTCGCTGCGTTTATGACTAGAGTTGGGCAGCTGTAGAAGAGGTTTTTGACTGTTCTTTTCTCTACCTCATTGTTAAAACTTCTACGATATTAATGAGAGGGAATTCCCACATTAACAGCGTGTCTAACAAATAGCCAGTGGATAAGCAACTTACGACGGTATCAAACGAGAATATAAAAATTTAATAACAATAAATTTTTTTTTAATAATAGCTTGGTAACACTTTATTTTATTATTATATATAGAAAGTTCTATATATAATGTTAAGCTTATTGTAATTTTGATCAAATTTTATAATTAGATTTAGTAATTCAATAAGTCAGCTCTTAACTCTTAACTGAATTCGCTGTTAGAGTTGTTGTTCTTATTTATAGGTGCTTTGGTAATTATTAAATAATTATATTGAAATCTTTATTGTGTAGTATCGTATATGTACATATACATGATTAAATCTTGATTAAATTTAGTAATTTCATTTATTAACTCAATAACTCAACTCTTGATTCTAACTGAATTTGCTGTTAGAATTGCTATTTTTGTTTATAAGTGCTTCGGCAATTATTAAATACGTCAAATTTCCATACAAAATATTTCTTACAAAAATATTTATTTATCTGCAATTAAATAAATCACAGAAGTTATAGTGAAATAAAATATTCAGAAATTATGGTTTGGGATTTTAATTTTTTTTCTTATTTTCAGTAAAAAGAGATTCCAATTTATTCGAACTGTTATAGTAATCATCAGTTGTAGTATTATTCGTTTGCAAATAAAAGTTCACAATTTTGAATAAGTCTTCTACTTCATTCTTGGAAGACTGATGAACAATTTCATCCACCGAACCTTCATCATTAATAATATCATCATCTGTAGGAAAGCTTGATGTAAAAATTTCATTGCCAAGTTCAACATAATATAATGGGACAGAGTAGCATTGGAAGTTATTTTATTTACTTTACTTTTACGTCATATCACTGTCTTCATCAATGTTATTCCAGAAAATTAAAGGAATGTCGTCTTTTTCGTTTAAGGACTGACATTTGCACAAAGAAGCAACATAAGAAAGAAAAAATTGAAACATTTTTTTTGGAAACATAGGATTTCCTCTAACACCAAAATGGATTCATACTTAAAACAAAATTTCGACGTATAGAATGCACTTTTCCATATTCCTATTGGCAAGCGACAATATTTTTATTCGAGTTATAGAGAAATTGGAGTTTTAGAAGTTCGAGTTATGGAAGCAGAATTATATGTAATTTGCTCTCTAAAACCCTGTTGCACTCATTTTAGTTAGAGTTATAGAAGATTTGAGTGATAGAAGATTGACTGTATTTATATTGAAGTCTTTATCGTATAGTAACTTATATATACTTGAGAGAGAGAGAGAGAGAGTTCTTAAGTGTATTGTATAACGATTGTAGTTTTTCTACGTCGATGTTAAGTAAGGTTTTATTGTGAAGTGATTGTCTTTCCTTATCAATAAAAAAAATTTATTTATCAAAAAAAAAAAAAAACATTTAGACATATATAAAAGATAATAAACTAAATTATTTTTGTATTTAAATCATTATTTTATTTACATTTTTATAGCTTAGTTTGTTTACAAAATTAAAATCATTGTTTGCGTTTTCTCTTAAAACTACAAAAATTAATTATCTTAAAATTATTTAAAAAATATGAAGTAATATTTACTATATACTATTATATATATTATTTCCATAATTTGATTCAGATTTTATAGTCAATGAACATATAATTCACGTTTTGATTTCAAAGGCACATTTGTTTAAAAATTATAGTTGTTTTTGTATTATTTTATGAAAGTCGGGGACTTTCGTGTTTCCTTGATCAACAACCATCTCAGTCTTACAAGTTTCAAATATTTTAAAAAAAAAATAGTTAAATTTTCAAAACACAATATCAATTGTAATATTTATTGTGATTATTCAAATAGTTTTTTAGAGTTGTTAAATTTGTTAAATTTGTTTTATTGTTTTATTGTTTTAATTTTCGTTATTGTTTTCTACTGGCATTAAAGTAATTTTAAATAAAATAAAATAATAAAATAATAATGATAAATAAAGAACATATATGGCAACATTATTCGACTCGAATTTTTACAATTTCATTTGCAGATGATATTGAAAAAAGAAACAAAATATTTTATTATATATTATATCCTTAAGCTAATCTATATAAAATAACGTAGTGTCTAAATGGTAAAAAAAACATCTCTGTAGTCACACTTAAATAGTAAAATAGTAAGGCACATGGTCACAAACTTAACAAATAAAATGGCCACAAATTTTTTGTCGACCATCATAAAAACTCATACAAAAGGATTACGAAGTTCATAGTTTGAAAGGACATACACATTTCAAGTATATCAAATATCAAATTAAAACTAATTAAAAGGCTACAATTTAAAATTAAATAGCAATAAAATCGAACAAGCGATTCGAAGCAAAGTGATTTGATTGCTTGACTTAGTGGTATTTAATATGCAAAGCAAATTCTTCTCTTCTAATGAATATAGATAGCCTAAAGTAATAGTAGAAAGGAAATTATAATATAGGATAAAAAATCTTTAGTTTCTGCAGATCTTGCAGTTTGCAAGTAGTTCTCATAAATCAATTGTACAAAAACAAACACAAACATTTAGAACATTTATAAAGTCATTAACAGAAAACATAAAATATTTAAATATTTTTATGGCATTTGTATGAATGCAAACCATTAAAACTGCTTAGTTATAAAGAGCTTACTTAATCCTATATAGTTAGCAGTTAAATAGGCCACATTATAACAAATTAAATGGCATTCATCCATTACTTAAGGATTTTTAAAGTTTTAATATACATAGTTGCCTAATAAATCCTTTTTCTTTATTTTTTTCTATTCTTATGGCATTATCGGGTCTCTGCGTTCTTTAGTAGGCAAATTTTTTTGCTTAGATATTTTTGAATCCTCAACGTTTGCTGACCGAAGTCATTTCTACCAATTTTGTTTCTATTGTTTAACCAATTATTCTTCACTCCAGTCCGTTCATCTACCAATAAGGACTAGGTTCTTGTGGCCATTCATTCTTTGTTGTTTGTTTTTCGGGACTGTTAGCAAGCGCTTCGCTTAAAGTTGACATAATATTACTTTGGGAACTATTACGTGTAGGATTTTTATCGTATGGAGAAAGTGCATTGTAGTAGAAAGGAGAACGTTTAGTTATGGTGTAGTTTGTACCCTGTAAAAAGATTAATATTTTATTAAAAAAAATATATAATGTAAATATATATCTTTTACTTACATCATTGTTATCCCAGTATTCCTTATCTTTAGCACGGAAACAAATGCAAAATTCAAGTCGTTTGGATGAAGGGGGTAAGGTAATTTTAAAAGCAAAAGTATCAAAAACTACATGAGCGCAAGTGGATGGACCATAAGCCTGCAATAAAGCATATAAAAGGTTTATTATATATTACATTAAATTGTTGTAATAATAATTTTAAACAATATAATAAAAAAAACAAAAAATAAATATAAAGTATTTTATATTTAAACAATTTAAAACGATATAATATATAAATATAAAAATATACATAAAGTATTTTATATTAAAACTTTTAGAATTAAAAAAATTTTTAATAACACTGTAGATGGTCCACGAAGTAGACCGAAATATCCGTTAAAAAATATATAAATAAATTAACAACGGTGATATTTTTTATTTGATCTTAAATTAATATTTATAAAAATTTTTATATAGAGGTTTTCAAAAGTGAATCACAACAACAAAAATTCATTTTTATATTATTTTAAATTATGAATTTCTGGCTGAGCACACAGCAGCTGAGTAATCCCAAAAAGTTTTTATTTAAAAATATAATTTAAAAAAAAAGGACTTTAAGTCTAGAAGAATTAAACACTTATTAGTGTTGAGGTTGACACCAATATAAACATTAAAATATTATATCTAAATAAAAACTAAAAAATTTCTAAAGAGAAAAGTGGGTCATGATGATTAAATTTTTAATTATAAAAATATGTTTTTAATTACATGAATTTTTAATAAATAAATAAGAATTAAATTATTAAATTTAAAAATTATAATGAAACAAACATTATTAATTTATTATAATTTATAATTTAAATTACATTAACAGCATAACATATGCTTAATATTATGTTAAAACTTATAAACTTATAATTAATAATATAAGTTTGTTTTTTCATTTTCTTTTAATATCAATGACAATATTTATTACTAAATTTTATTAAAAATATTTTCGCTTTTATTATAATTTTTATAATTATTTTTATAATTATAAATTTTTTATTATAAAATTTTGTGTTGATAATTTTTTTCTTTTTATATATATATTTAATATTTAATTATAATAAATTAATTGCTTTACTATTATAAAATTTTTGATAAAAAAGCAAATAATTTATAACGTTTTAATTGTTTAGATTTTATTTTTAGTAATGTATTTATTAGTTAAATGTTATAATTGTAAATTTTTAGAAGTAAAACTATTCTAAAAATTTATGGATTTTGTATTTATTATTAATAAATTGTTATTGCTTTCAATATTTAATAGGTTTTTTTATTATTACTGGGTCTATGTAGTTAATTTAACACATAAAAATTAAAAATATTTTTTTTTTGAAATAAAAAATTACACTTACAAATTTGTGTTAAATTATTACTATTAAATAATTAATGATATTTTAAAAATGATTTTTACTTAACATATAATTCTATGTTTCATTCAACCTATTTAATGTACTGACAGTCAAACTTACCCGTGCAAATGTACAAAATATATCCTGCTGACTTTTCCAATCGTCCCACGTTACACGAACGATTACTTCCTTTTCAAAGCCAATATTTTTCACTTTAACAGTGCCTACGACAATTGACTCCTCATCTTTCACGATAACATTCTCCAAAGAAACGAAGTTACTGTCAATTTTTTGTCTACAAATATATTAAAATACGAACTCAATATTAGTTTTTGATAATAATAAATAATAAAAAAATAATAATAAAAATAAATACGAATGTATATAATAATAGAACTAAAAATTTAGAACAAATTGAGTTAAAAATTTTGTTTTATTGTTTAAATAAAAATATATTATTATTTTATTATTACACTAAATAGAATTAAAGTAAATATTTAAAACTCTTTAATGAATTATTTTTATCTTTTTAAATATAAACAATTCAAAATAAAAAAGTTTAAGGGCTAACTCTACAATGCACACTTAAGTGTCGTTGAACACTTTAAGGCCCGGTATCAAAAATTAAGGGTAACTTAAGTAAACATTTTTAAACTGCTACTAAATATGTTAAAATATTTATTGCTATTTTCAATTATTTTTTATTAAAATTTAATTTGAAAAATAAAAATGGATTAAATAAAAAATTACCTAAATGTCAAATAATCAGATGCAGGTTGCTTAAAGTCCACCGTCCATTGATCCGCTGGATGTGGGCTAACTAAGCCTTGAGTAATTTGTTCTAAGAATTTCATACTCCAATATGGTGGCACATTTGATGGCTCGGACATAACGCGTACTTCCGTTAATGAAAGTCCTTCGTCATCAGCAAAGATCACCTTTTTACGGGATCGACTGAAAATAAAAAAAAAATTTAATATATTGTATAAATTTGAAATTTTTTAAAATAAATTTATTATAAAAAAAATAATTTTATATAAAATTTATTAAATTTAATTTCAGCGTCTCTGATCAAGGTTAAATTTTGTTTAACCTTGAAATGTGAAGAATATCTGTGCTTCAAAAATATAATAATGTAATATTGTCACAAATGCTATATAAACAAAAAAACTGCATATGTAGACAGAAAGTAAATAGCAAATAAATAGTAAAACCAATAAAAGTCTTAAATAAATAGCATTATAATGCTATATAATGCGCAATTCGGCTAACATGGCGTATGATGATTGCTCGTATGGCGTACGGTGTATGGCGTATGGCGTATAGCGGACGAGACCGTATTTTATAAATGCAATGAGCAATTGAACTCACGTTTATCAAGGCAAATATTTGCAGTGGATTTAAGTGTTTGTATTTGTCATTAACGTCAGCTAGTCAGCTAATATATTTGTAGATAAATTTACAAAGAAAGTGAGAAAATTCTGATTTTGTGAATTGTAAAGAAAAATATTGCTACTTGATTATTGTATAGTAGTAAAATATATTATAACATTTTTTTTTAAATTTTTTTTTACACAAGTTTATATGCAAAAAAAACGCTATGCATTTTTTTGTTGTTTATTTATTTTAATGATTTTATTAAAAATGTGTGACATTTGCTTTTTTATTCGTTTTAGAACAGTTTGAATTAAAAAAAAAATTCCTTAATAAAATTAAGTAATGAGAAAAGATTTTGAACATTTAATGATTTTAAAATGTTTATATGTGAAGCTATTTGTTACCCTCAGAAGGGCTCTGGACCAATAAGTGCGGTACGAGATTTGAAAATTGTACGAATATTTTCCACTGTATATATTTATCATAAAATAATTCTAATATATTAATATAATAATAGTTTTCTATATGTTTGTCTAGAGTTATTTATATGTATATATATATATATATATTTGCATAGGGATATTATTTTTATGAGCAAAATTTTGAAAATTCAATAAAATATTTTTAAATGATTACACTATTTGAACATTTTTTAAAATTTATTTTAGATTATTTTAATGTTTAATAATTAATAATTTAATTTAATTATTGATCATAGGGAGGTTTCGAAAAGTAGTGAACTACAACAACAAAACTCTTTTTATATAATTAGAATTAATTGTAACTTAATTAATTACAATTGATTATATATAATTATTTTTTTAATTTAATATTTCTTTTTCTTTTAAGATTAAATTTAATGAAATAAAAAATTTCATTTGAATCTATAAATATTATTTACATCACGTATTTTTTTATTTATTTACTTTTATGGTAACTTCGTATTTAATTTAAATAAATTATTATAAAATTTTGAGAGAGCAAAAATGTCGTTGAAGAACAGTAGTTGCACGATAAGAAAAGTTTTACAGTCTATATTGATAAATGATAAACAGATTATATACAATTTAAACTCTTTATTACCGAGATAATTTTTTGTGATAATTCAATCTCTAGTTCCACTATTTCAGCTCTACCCAAATTTTAGTTATATAAATAGATGTTATAAATAAGTCAAATTTTAAAATATATATTTAAGGGAAATTTGTATGAATACTATTTAATCTTAAACCTTGTCTACATATAAATACATAAATGTTAACAAATAATTAATTAAAGTAAAAAAATATAATAAATGCTAGCTGGGGTTTTTATGTCGTAGGTGCAAAAGTTTATCAAATTTTATTGTTTCTTAATGAGATACATTTTCATTTTATTTGTTAAATTTATATTTATTATATATATATATTTATTATTTCACAGTAATTTAATTTGGAACAAGCTGATAACAAAAATCTGTAAAAAAAGCGCTGCTATATCAAATAAAATACTTGTAATTAAATGAAATGACCCCCAATGTAAGACAGAACTTCACGGAACGTATGATTTTGTTGTTTATATAATTTTTATATGTATACACCGTTATTTTTTTTTTTTTTTGAATATTAATCAAATTATCATTTTATTTATTATACTTACATCTATTTAAATTTTTATTGTAGAGATTATGTTAAATTTTATAATAAACATTAACAAAGAAAGAAAGAAAAGGTTAGAAAGACGTATAAGCAATATATTCCGGATATTAAAGAAAAGTGGTCAGGAAGAAGAAAAACATTGCTAAAACTGGTGTAATGGAATCGGATTAACTAGAAAACTACCAAAAATAAGTAACAGTTTCTTTAGTCTCCTATTCCTATATAGAAAACCTGTTTGGGTTTTCTCTTTTAAGGTAACGCTTTAATAAATTGAGCTACTCGTCAATTTGAATGATCAAGTGTGAATCATCACTTCTAAAACGGACTATACCAGCAGATCTGCGCTGGTTACAATAACAATATTAGGAATTGGTAATAAAACCATTTATGGATTTGAACTATTCATATATCATAATTAGCTATTATAGTTCATTGCAGTCTATATGCCAATATTAAAACATTAATGATTGCAATTCACTCATGATCAGGTAATTCCAATAAAATTTTAAAAAGAGGCGTAAAGCAAATTGGAATATGTGTGAAGAGCGTGAAGAGAATAATTTTATAGAAGAGCGTGAAGGGAATAAATTTATAGAAATAAGAATAGAGAATGAGCACATATAAGACTACAAATGGACGTTACTGAAAATAGGATTAATTAATATCATTATTATTATTATGGACAGGCTGTGGGACCTGAAAGATGTTTTGTGCAGTGTTTCACCCAATTAGTCTAATTCCACATTTTTAAAGAATTTTGTCACTATTGTTGGCCGTATTTTAACTAGGTGTTCAGGGCTCAAAACTGACTAAGTTCAGAATAGCTTTAGCTTTCATATTTCACGATAATAAGCAGTTTTAACTGCTGCATGCCTTTTAATTGATATAATCAATTAATATAAAAAATAATTCATATATATATAAATTAAAACCTCACTTATTACAGTGATTGTTAAAATAGTATATTAATAAAAACGTGATATATTTATGTAATAAGTTCAAGCACTTAAAATGCATTTGAAATATCAGAAATGGCAAAAAAATATCGGAAACAATATTAATCCAAGAAATATTATTTATTTAAATTTTTCTCAATTACGAGTAAATATATTATTTATATGATATAGAATCATATATTTATTATTATTTTTATATACAATAAATCTTATGTCTTAAATCTTATCTTAAATCTTATTAGATCATTATATTGATATATGTCTAAAAACAATATTTTGATTTTGTTGTTATTACTCTTAAACACAAGGAATATAGGATTGCAAGAGTAGAGAAAGTTGTAGATAAAGCATTGCTCCATCCTATAATGTCATAATCACACTAATTATTATTGTTAAGGGATGTGGCACTGCGACAGTCAAGTCTATTGCGCCCCCCACGCAATATCATACTAATAATGTTGATAATTATAACAGTGACACATAAAGACATATCAATTAAAATTTTTTAATGAATGTTGATATTTGTAATTCAACACAAGCTAGAAATAATTTAATTAAGAGAAATTTGTTTCATTATGCTATATAAATAAAGTAAAAAAAAATAATAATAAAATTAAATTACAATAATAAAGAATAGGAATATGACTGGAACTAATAGTTATACTGAACATCTGTGTAAATTATTTGATTGTAGACATCTGAGCAGTCATCTGAAATTGACCTATTGTGTTAAAAAAAGACTGGTGAAAACATAATAAATATAAATTTTTGCAAATCAAATGAATTTCGTGTGCTATCAGGCCACAAAGAGAGTTCAATCTCAATTAAACTTTTTTGTCAGATTTATTAAAGATTCAATTCAATCAATAATAAAATTATTTCAGAAAATTAAGTCGCACAATATTGAAATTAATGCATGTATCTTTGTATATATATGGTAAATACTTATATATATATGTTATGTATATATCACTCTTTCAATAAAGTAAGTAAGTATTTTGTTTTGGTAGCAGGGGAGTGATATTATGGACTCGAATATGAGAAGAGCTACCAGAACACATTCAAATGCGAAATTGAATTTTGGTAATTTTTTTTGTGAAGATTCAATAAATTGATATAATTAAATTTTTGCTTGTACGTGATATATATTTATATATATATATATAAATAAAGTGTAATAAAATTGAGAAATTAAAAATAAATGTGAAAAAATCGAAAACGTGTAGCACGTTAATTTAACAAACACAGCAAAGTGCATAAAGTTAAAATTTTTTATATCAAAAGGTAAGAGAAATTATTAAAATAAATAAATTAACGATTTTATAATTTTGTTTATATACAATAAAAGAGAACAAAAAAAAAATATATAAAAACTTCGTTAATAAATGGTAATAAAAACAACAATAATAAAAAAAATTGATATATTTATGCGCTACTTTATGCAAGCAAAGCAAACAATTTGTGTTTGTCGTGTATCGTTGCTATGCGATGGGAGCTAATGGAGCTGTTCGGTACAAATTTAGATCAAGCGATCGATCGAGCAATTCAAGCTACAGCCAGTTACGATCTGGTCGGTTGTGCGGCTTTTATAGCTTTCGATCGATCACGCGAAGAACGCATGCTGCATTTTTCACACGCAACAGGTTTCGTCATTGTTATCATCGTCACAGTTGCCGTCGTTGTTGTTGTTGCTGTAGTTGCTGTTGTTGGCGTTGTTGGTGTTGCCGTCGTTGCCTTCGCCGTCACCGTCGCCACCTACTGCGGTGCGCTTTTTCATTGTTACCAGCGGCACACGTTTTAGTGTTCGGTAGTTTTTTTTTTTTATAAAATATTTTTAGTTTTAAAGAAATTTTTCAGTCTGTTTTAAAAACTTCACTTTACACTTACATATTTAATATTTTTATTTTATTTATATTTTTTCATATTTAATTTTATTTAAATTTATGTCAGTTTTTTAAGTTGAACAAAATTTGTGACTTTCAGC